GAACAAAAATATAAATGCAACGATTTTACCGAGTTACAGTTCATAGAAGGAAGTCAATCAATTGAAATAAATGAATAATGCCCTAATCTATGGATTTCACATGACTGGGAATACAGATATGCATCTGTTGGTCACATATACCTTTTAAAAAAATTTAAAAGTAGGGCCGTGAATCAGAAAACCAGTCAGTATCTGGTGTGACCACCATTTGCCTCATGCAGCACGACACCTCTCCTTCGCATAGTTGATCAGGCTGTTGATTGTGTCCTGTGCAAAGTTGCTGGATATTGGTGGGAACTGGAATACGCTGTCGATCCAAAGCATCCCAAACAAAACTCTGGTAACAGCTCTGGTGGACATTCCTGCAGTCAGCATGCCAATTGCACACTCCCTAAAAACTTGAGACATCTGTGGCGTTGTGTAACACAACTGTACATTTTAGTGGCCTTTTATTGTCCCAGCACAAGGTGCACCTGTGTAATGATCATGCTGTTTAATCAGCTTCTTTATATGCCACACCTGTCAGGTGGATGGATTATCTTGGCAAAGGAGAAATGCTCACTAACAGGGATATAAACAAATTTGTGCACAACATTTGAGAGAAATAAGCTTTTTGTGCATATGGAAAATGTCTGGGTTCTTTTATTTCAGCACATTAAACATGGGTCCAACACTTCAGTGTATATATTCGTACACACCCTTCCTCTGACAGCTGTTTAGAGGCTGCTACCCTGAGGAGTCTGATCGGCAGAGCTGGAATGTGGACGAGGTGGCTCGGCTCACTGACAGACGCCCTGTCCCGAGCCCTCCCCAGGCATTCCAGCACATGTGCACACGACACTGGGCCTCAACCTCAAACCTTTATGGCAAATGTACCCCTCATATTTCCCCTCAGCACTCTCCCCGTTCACCGAATAATCTATTTTTCACCCGTGGTTAAGACTGTTATGACACTAAGCTGACATCAGTATCCCCAACCCTTCTTGCTCTTTTTTTTCTCTTTCGCTCTCCCTGTAGTCTGACTGCATTTCCAACCCACTCAACGCAGCTAAATCCCCCTCTTTGTATTAAAAGTGACCCATTTTGCTGCGCATCACTGTCTGATGTGATGCGTGGCTAAAACATGGCTGGCACTGTAGGATGATTGCAGACAGCTGTAATTAAACTGCTAGGAAAAAAAGGAGAGAAAGCAGGGGTGAAAAAGAGCGGGGGAGTTAGAAGATGCAACGCAGCGAAGATGAGACTGAGGGGCAGCGAGTTTCTTCCGTCTAGACAGCCCACCCCAACAGGTTTACGATGGCAGCGTTAACCACACACCCAGAGAGAGGAACAGACAACCTGATGAGTACACTGGCTAGTCGGTTAGTACCCAGCCACTGTTGTCAGACTGCAGCCGGGGAGCAATTTCCAACCGGCTTATGAATTTGCATACTTCCAACACATGGTAATTGTTGCCAGGGGTATTGAGCTAATTTTGATATTAGCTGCAGCGCTAGCTGGAAAGTAAGCATGCTGTGTCCTGAATATGGTATTAGCCCTTTTTATTTTACTGTTATTTGTTATGCAAATGATTGGAGGGGAGCACAATGGCTCTTTATTTCATCAAAATGCATGAAACCTTTCATATCTACCGGCCATGCAATCTAGTCTATTGTTTTTTGGGGGGTGTTGCCCTTTGAATAATTCCAATTGCAAGTCTATGCTAAGACTGCCAGGGATGGAAAGCCGCTCCGAAATTCCCAGAGAATTTGTGTCATAAGGACATTTTGGTGATGAGTGGTTTTAAGAACGATGCCATGCAATAGTTTCAAATAGGAAATACTACAGCTAGCTGCTTTGAAGCAGAGGAGTCTCTAATACCCTCCCTAATCGCCTCGCTACAGTTCAACAAAGCTCTTTATATGCGTGTAGGGTTTTAGTGATGCCGTCATGCCGCCTCCCGCTACCCAGAGGTCGGCTCAGCTCGTGGTAGGGAATGCGATACAGGCAGCACTTTGGTAAGACCCTGGCGTTAGCGGTTAGGTCAGCAGCCCCTGGCGTTAGCGGTTAGGTCAGCAGCCCCTGGCGTTCGCTGGGCCAGAGATGGGCATAAGTAAAGCCAGGCCAGTGCCCGTTCTGCCCACGGCCAAAACATCCCCCTTTTATCCTGCTCCTGCCCACCGAACGCAGGTAGAGCGATGGCGCGTTAATCTGACTCCTGCCCTGCCCACTGGATTTATTTAGCTGGCAGTCGTCCCTCGCTGTGATGTCCCACATCCCGCTATCTCCCTAATGCATCATTACCACGCTACATTGGTGTCAGAAGCACATCCAAATGTATTGGTAGCACTAGCCGGGTTGTTTAAAACACGGAGTATTGAGTTGAACTTGTGATATTTTGAAGAGATGATGACCAATTTAGTAAATGGAGTTTAGCCTTGTTTCCTTCCCAAATTAGATTTGATAATGAATTTGATTTAGGATAGAGCTTTTCCAAGTACTCAATGTTCTAGCTGATTGATGAAACTCTACTGGCTTGTAACTCATCTGCAATAATCCAAACTTGATTCAGCCATGTCATTGATGACTAATTCTGTTTCACAAAAACATCTTGGGTCATCAAGAGTTGAAGTATGATATTATATATATATATATATATATATATCATTGAATAATGTAGAGATCTGTAAGAATAGCTAGCAGCTCTGGCGTAGCCCTGCTCAGTTGACTGAAGGCTACAAGCTTGGCCCCTCTCTCCTTTTGGCCCCTCTCTCCTCTTGGCCTCCCTCTCCTCTTGGCCTCCCTCTCCTCACTGGCCCCTCTCTCCTCACTGGCCCCTCTCTCCTCACTGGCCCCTCTCTCCTCACTGGCCCCTCTCTCCTCACTGGCCCCTCTCTCCTCACTGGCCCCTCTCTCCTTTTGGCCCCTCTCTCCTCACTGGCCCCTCTCTGTGCTGGAGATATGTAATAGGAGCGCAGAAAAGGGAGGAGGAGGCGGCGAACATCCTGTCTGCCTGCAGTATGAAAAATGTATGCACTCACTTAACTGTAAGTCGCTCTGGATAAGAGTGTCTTCTAAATGACTAAAATGTAATGTAAATGACTAAAATGTAAATGTAAAATGTTGGAGCCAGAAGGACGAGGAGAGGAAAATAAATGATGGATAACTGCAGTGACGGCATTTTGTTTGTACTCTCTGGTTTAAATAGAGGTCAGACCATTGGTTTGGAGGGAGAGAGATTGGGGGAATTTGAGAGAGGGGTGCATGTGTTTTGGGGGAGGGGTGTTGGTATTAGTTCTATTGTCTGTCTGCTATCAAACCGACCCAACTAGTTCCACAGGATCTCCACAAGTGGTCTCTTTTGTTCATTTGCCTTTCCAATAGACTGGGCTAATGTGTGGTTAGGCCTCATATGTCGCTCACAAACAGGCCAAGGCCAAACTGTCTTGAAGGAAAGAAATTCCTCTGTAAACATTCAAATGAGTGAATAAGTAGCAAACTGAGGTTTGTGTGGAGAGTTGGGGACAAGGTGTTCCACTCTATGGTATGTGTCAACGTTAATAAGTAACTGAATAGAGCCCTGGGGGAGTCTAGTTGCTGCTTGGCCTCTATAGGTTTCTCTATCTGCTCCACTGAAAAGCCCCTCTATGGAAAGTTGTCTTGATGGAAGTTTGTCAAACTATTAACGATGACCTCAGTCAGATGGCTTCTGCATAAGTCTCTCTGTCTGTCACTGTGCTCTCCCAGTCCCTTCCTCTTCCATCTCTTGCACACTTCCCCCCCATCTCCTCTCTCTCCTCGTGTGTGCTCCTCTCTCGCTCTCTTCCTCCTCTCTTGCCAAGCCTTTTTTGTTGAGCTCCAAACAAAGATTTCTGCCCAGACCGTCTGTTGACTGAGAACTGATCATATAGCGTATAGAGGGGGTAGAGTAGCTGAAAGAGATACAAGTGCCTAAGAAAAAATAAAGGAGTGAGGGAAGGGGGGTGGGGGGGATACTGAAGAAAAATCAACTATTGTTGTTGGTGCTGGGGTAGAGGGGCAGTTGGACAGGGGGAGCTAGAGGAGTGGGTGGGAGGGCTTGTAATAGAAAGGGAAGGAGGGGGTTGTGGAAAGTAGAAGAGTAGATGAGGAAGAGCAGCAGCAGTGGAGAGAGCAGGCCACGTTGGCAGGGGAAGGCAGCCTGCCAGGGTTCCAGGGGCTGCAGTAAGGCTAATGAGCCCCAGAGCGTCTGTATTTGTCTGTTTCTACTCGTACAGTATTGTCCATTTGAGGCCTCCAATAACCAGCGTTTGACTCTTAGTAATCGCTGGCTGTCATCGTGGTCAGCATCTGGGCTGGCAGCACCGAACAACAGAATCACTAACAAATGGGACATGTGGTCCTGGTTTTCCAGACTCTCTCTCTCTCTCTCCTGTGGACTGTCAGGAGATTGCAAGGCCTTGCGGTCTTTCAGCACTCCATCCACAACTCTCTCTCTCTCCCTCACTCTCCATATATGCTGGAGGACATTTTGGTTTCTGTACACTAGTTATTGCATGTCAAACTTTTTATAGTACTCTGACAATGCCAGTTTTTTAAATCATGGATCGTAAATGTCTCTGTTCTCAGTCTCTGTGATCCTCACATTGTATTGGTATCAGACAGTGAGTGACTGTGCACTTTAGAAACAAATCATCATGTTGGCTTCTCTCTTCCTGTTTTTCCAATAGTTTCAAATTCCTCGGCGAGACCATGTGCCTCATGGCATTTCCGTTGGTTTTTTAAATGCTACAAGTCTACGAATGCATGGTTTCATGTGTGGCTATTCTGATAATATACATGAGGGGTTATTTGTAGTTCTATGATTAAACATGTTTTTTTTTCCCACACCAATTTGAACATCAACATTTATGAATCTCTCTTCTCTTTTCCACTCCAGAACCGTGAGGTTGGTGAGATAGGACGTTGGTTCCACTCCGGGTTCAGTGTGTTTGTGAGCCGCTGGATCCGGTAAGTGAGACCGTTGCCAGGCCTACAGGGGGATGAAACCGGATGGGGTTGCCATGGAGCCCACAGAAGCCATAGGAGCTGAGCCCTCTGCCCAGGGGATGGCCACCGACGAGATGGCCCCCCAGCCAGCCCCTGCAACTTCCCAGTCCCCTCCATCACAGCCCGAAGACAGCCAAAACACCACAGCTCAGCCTGAAAACCCCACAGCATCCCCTGCGTCCAAGGAGGTCAATGGGGCCAATGGCAAGGCAGCAACTGACCCTAAACCCAAGGCTAAGACCGTGGGCTTGGCTAAACCAGGGCACAGCACAGCTGGTATCAAGACCACAACAGGTCCGGCGTCAGGACCCAGCACCTCTCGTCCAGGCACGGCCCCAAGCCACATGGCCAACGGATTAAAGCCCTCAGCCAGTGACCTGGCCAAGAAAGCAGCTCTGGACAAAAAGAAAAACACCACCACAGCTGGAGCACCGGCGTCAGCTGCAGCCACAAAGAGGTCTGTGGGGCCGTCTGCCGCTTCCACTGTCAGGACCCAAACGAAGGTGGCTGACAGGAAGGCTGTCGGAGCCCCCAGGTCCACCTCTGCTACCAGGCCAACCAAAGCTACATGGACTGCGGCGACGGGGACTGGCACTCCAACGAGGAGACCTCCCCCAACTGGGCCCATTAATGGGGCCGGGGCCAGACCCAAAACCACAGGTGAGGAGGCGAACCAAAGACTATACACACACACAAACATACTACCGAGTATTTAGTCTTGTTAATCATGCTTTGGTTAGACACACAGCTTTTGTTTTCCTTTGTCCCATGTTGAGTTTTTAGTTACTGTCCTACATTTTAGAGCTCACCCAAACCCACCTGTGCTTGGCTGCAGAAACATTTGCTCTCCTCAACTCCTACTAGACCAGTCCTTCATCCCAGTCCTCTGTCCTCGTCTTCATTCCACTTTCCTTTTTCTCTCTCTCTCTCTCTCTCTCTCTGTCTCTCTGTCTCTCTCTGTGTGTGTGTCCTCTAGCTCCCAGACTTGCTGCCCCCAAGCCTTCCAGCACTTCAGCCGTGGCCAAACCCGATAGGACGGCGGTTTCCAAGACAACCAGGTAAGGCAGCCTATTCCGTGACAGCACCACCACCGGGCATGCAAAGTGATTTACAGGCCAGTGACATTTTGTGACCAGCACCGGGCATGCAAAGTGATTTACCGGGCAGTGACATTTGTGACTGGCAAGTGCGCATTTGAATGAACTCAAAGAGGGGGGAAAAAACCCAGGCACTGTTTATAGTTCAAAAACAACTTCTCCCCTCACATACACAATACCTAATACAATCACCCAAGATCTGAGGAGCTGCTTCGCACAAAAGGCATCACTCGACAAATCGGATCAGTGAACGACTTGTTTTGCGAGGAGCTGAAATGGCGTGTCGATGAAAAGTGGCCATTGTGAGGCCGGCCGGTCTGTTATTGGGTTAGGTTTCCGACTGTGTCTCAAATGGCACCCTATATTATCTAGTGCACTACTTTTGACCAGGGCCAATAGGGAATAAGGTGCCATTTGGGACGCACCCCTAGTCTACTCTGAGTCACACTAACAGAAATAAACCTGAGACAGTGCTCTTCTATCTCACACTGCCCCAGTCAGCACCACAGTGTTACTGAATAACATGGGTTATTCCCCCCAAGGCGGTGGTTATTCACTGGGGCTCTGGCCTCTCTCACACTCACTGGGATGTTCCAGCAACACTACGGGTCTGTCTCAATAATTGTAATGGTCTAAAGTGGCTACCTCATCTCTTGATGGAGAGGAGGTTGCATTAGACTTTTGAGATACACCCACTATATGGCTCCACACCTAATCTCTCGTGGACAGACTGTGAACATAAATGGTAGCATAGATCTGTCACGTGGTCCTCTGTAGCTCAATTGGTAGAGCACGGCGCTTGTAACGCCAGGGTAGTGGGTTCGATCCCCGGGACCACCCATATGTAAAAATGTATGCACACATGACTGTAAGTCGCTTTGGATAAAAGCGTCTGCTAAATGGCATGTTATATGATACAACGGAGCGTGAGATAACGAGCAGCATTAGTTCATGCTTAGGACAAATCACGATTTCGCAGGTGTTAGCATCTTTCGTATTTCAGGAGGGGACATTTGGCCCATAGACTTGCCCGTAACTTGCAAAGAGAGAACACGGCTTCACCCGCTGTCTTCTCTTAACGCGCATGGACCCAGAACTTAATCGAGCATCTGACCAATTACGCAAGACTTTGGTTCTGGGTTAATCGAGATTACTCCACACTCAGGTCTCCACAGGACATACTGTTCAGCTCTTAGCTTCAATTTGATTTCTCTTCTCCCACTTCTTCCCTAATGCGCTGCTTTTATTATATGAGACGAAATGGTGAACTGACTCAAACCAGTTTAATCTGTTCTTTCTGAATCTGGGAACACACCTTACCACTCACCACCACCCCATCTTTTGTTAGACTAAGGACAAGTACGAGTTGTCTCTTTCAGCTGGTGTTTTGACAGGTCTACGTGTTGGACTTGAAACTGGCACCACTTAAACTTGTGTAGAGTAGAGATCTATTTTTGCCTCGGTTGGCACTTAATCTGAGCCTATCTTATTAATGCATGTGTCCCAGTGTCCTTATCCTTTGAATGATGCAGTTGTGGGATAGTTTCAGCTGCAGGATTGTGGTTACAATAGTTTCCCTGAGTGAATGACACTTGTTTTGGAACATTATGACATCAGGCATTTTTCTGTGTGTGATCACTGGTCAGGCATGTGGGGGGTGGATGGGGGGTGATTTTCTTGGATTTGTTGAACGACATGGAGAAGCAGCAGGTCACTGTGTGTGTGTGAACATACAGTGTGTGTTTGACAACAGTAGTAGTAGTAGTGTGCTTGACGACCGTAGAAGCAGGTTGTGTGTGTGATCATGCTGCTTGTGTTTGACGTCAGGAGCAGTGGCAGCCAGACTGTCTCTCCATCCATGCAGGGCCCTGTTCCTGACTCCCTGGGTGAGCCAGGGCTAGTGAACAGGCCTCTCCCAGCCAGAGCTGTGACTGCTGCTCTCTTCCATTAGTCATGAGTCTATGAGCAGGGCAGACGGCCCGGGGCTCATATATAAAATGAATGAATATAACGTAACATTACTGTTCCGTTTCACTACCTGCAATAAACCGTCAGACGGCCCATAAGGAATGTTCTATAGAACGTTGCCATAGTTACACATTGGCAGAGAAATAGGGTTTTCTTAACTATTCATCTTAATTGCCCTAAGGGGTGAAATAAATTGTACTGGATAAGAAGCCGAAATCAATGTATTAGAGACGAACGGGTCACAACAAGGGTGAGTGAGATTGGATGGGAGCCTCAGAACAAGGGGATTGTCTACAGTTGACAAAAGCAAGGGGATTGAAGAGTGTGGCAACTGACAAGGTGAGTTATGATAATGGATTAAAGAGAAAAGGGCTGTTGTCGACTGTAAATTAGCAGATGTGCTGGAACCTTGAGGCATCGCAGACCTGTTTTAACACCTGGCCTCGTGTGCCACGCTTCTGGCACACACTGCTGGGTTGTGTTCAGTAGGGCAAAAACATTTTGAAACTGTGAAAGGGGGATGTTCTACCTGATCTTGTCCAGTAACAAACACTCATTTTCTTTCTGTTGCAAAATGTTTTGCTACTGTGTGCCCTACTGAACATACCCCAGGTGAATGAGTCCACCAATCCCCTAATGCATCTCATCAGAAGTGATCAAGATTGATTGCCACACAACCAGTCAGACAGACAGCTGGATGGCTTGATTATCTGTCTGGGCACAGTAGGGGGTGCCATGGCGACGAAGGGGGGATTCTAATTGTATTCTCTCCTCCCTCCTTTTCTCTCTTCTATCTGGAGCCGGTGTCCTTGTCCTGTTTGAGCAGTCTGTTTTTGTCCGCCCCATCTCTCCTCCTTTACGCCTCCCAACTGCCTTCTGTTTATGTACACTGCCAGGAATTTAGCCAGCACCCCTTCCAAACCCTCCCGCTGCTCCCCCCCCTCCCCCTTGAGCGCATCTGTCATTTTGGTGGGCCTTAAGACTCTCTCTGAGAATTGGGAGGAATCCAGGGTGTTTTGTAAGATGGGATAATTTGTGTTGAGAGCCATCCATATGGGAATGCTGTCAAAATGGTCACAGTAATGAAATGGCAGTTACACCTCATGATCTACACTGAACAAAAATATAAGCGCAACATGTAAAGTGTTGGTTCCATGAGCTGAAATAAAAGATCCCATACATTTTCCATATGCACAAAAAGCTTATTTCTCTCAAATTGTGTGCACAAATTTGTTTATATCCCTGTTAGTGAGCATTTCTCCTTTGCCAAGATAATCCATCCACCTGACAGGTGTGGCATATCAAGAAGCTGATTAAACAGCATGATCATTACACAGGCACACCTTGTGCTGGGGACAAAAGGCCACTTTAAAATATGCATTTTTGTTGCACAACACAATGCCACAATGTCTCAAATTTTGAGGAAGAGTGCAATTGTCATGCTGACTGCAGGAATGTCCACCAGAGCTGTTGCCAGAGAATTGAATGTTAATGTCTCTACCATAAGCTGACTCCAACCAGTGGTGGAAAAAGTACCCAAGTGTCATTCTTGAGTCAAGTAAAGATACCTTAATAGAAAATGACTCAAGTAAAAGTCACCAAGTGAAATCCTACTTGAGTAAAAGTCTAAAATTATTTGGTTTTAAATATACCCAAGTATCAAAAGTAAAAGTATAAATCATTTAAAATCCCTTACATTAAGCAAACCAGACGGCACCATTTTCTTATTTTTTTTACATTTACGGATAGCCATAATTTACAAACGAAGCATGTGTTTAGTGAGTCTGCCAGATCAGAGGCAGTAGGGATCACTAGGGACGTTCTCTTGATAAGTGTGTGAATTAGACCATTTTCCTGTCCTGCTAAGCATTCAAAATGAAACTAGTACTTTTGAGTGTCAGGGAAAATGTATGGGCCTATGCCCTCCCAGGCCCACGCATGACTGCACCCCTGCCCAGTCATGTGAAATCCATAGATTAGGGCCTAATTAATTTATTACAATTGACTGATTTCCTTATATGAACTGTAACTCAGTAAAATCTTTGAAATGGTTGTATGTTGCGTTTTTATATTTTTGTTCAGTATATTAGATGGCAGTCTATGCAGGTCAGATACCTTTTGACTTGCAGTCTGACTCAAACATGCATTATAACAAAGAGGGTTGTTGAATAACTAAAAGTAGAGAATTGACTGTCACTCTAGCTCTTGTGCAATGCAGTCACACAATTTTCCTGTCCCAGCCTCCCTCTTTCCTTTGGGGATGAAACCATGCGATTGGGGCGGCAGGTAGCTTAGTGGTTAAGAGTGTTGTGCCAGTAACCGAAAGGTCGGCTGGTTCTAATCCTCGAGCTGACTAGGTGAAAAATCTGTCTGTGCCCTTGAGCAAGGCACTTAACCCTAATTGCTCTTGTAAGTTGCTCTGGATAAGAGTGTCTGCTAAATGACTAAAATGTAATGTAAAAATGTAGTTTCGGCCCCAGTCTTGGCAGGGCATAGAGTTACTAAACACATCCAGCATTATGATAGTATAGTAGCTAAGGCCTCAGTAAATGGGCTGTCTGGATCAGTTGCTAGAGGTTTCCACAGCAGCAGAGGCACTTCATTTAAGGCCCATCTCTGGATCTGTTGCTAGGGGTTACCACAGCAGAGGCAATTAATTTAAAACCTAGACAAAGCTGATTTTAGGTCTTCTTGTTCTTTGCGGTGATGGGATGCTTCATTGCCACTGGGACAACACAAGCCCCAGGAATGCCTCCTGTCTCAATAAGCAGCACAAGAGGGGGCTGTTTTTGGACGGCTCACAAGCCAAACAGGGCACTGTCAGAGGCATCGTTCCATCAGCTAGAAGGTGGCCCTGGAGAGAAGAGAGGGAGAGGAGAAACTCTGACGGGGAAGATGGTCGTCCTCCAACAGGGATAAAGTGTACCTCTGGGGCTCTATCTCGCTCTGCTTGATTAAAACTGCATTTTTAATCTGTCAACTTGCGGTGCCAAGGGAGTCTGGCTTCCTGGCTGTGTTTGACATTGGAAAGAAGGGGAGGGTGAGGGGGGAGACTCAAATGAAACTATCCTGGCAACACTTTCGCTCTTACCCAACAGATGTTACACAGCCTATTGTATTATTGATGCTGTCGTCACATAACATTGATGAATATTGTTAATTGCCATTGAATTCCTAATTCAAAAGCAGAGTAAGCTGACATTTTATTGTAGAAAAAGGCTTGAGTGTTGTGCATGAATAATACTTTCTAAGCTTTGAAATGAAGCCTCTGTTTTTATGGCAAAGCTTTAATAGGTTGGCGACGTCTTGAATACACCTGGTCAGTTATTGTATCCTCAAACCGGCTGTGAATCTATTGCACCACTAAGGTGTATCAACCAAGTATATGCTTTGAATCCCTTTGTTGACACTAACCAATCCCGTGTAGCCACAACAAATATACCAAAGTAGCTGAACTACTGTGCCACCCAAGCAATTAATACTGTATGGACTCCACTGAGCTTAGTCTCTCTGTGAAGACGAGATGGTTATGTGAGGTTAACGCTGTAAGCACAGATGACTGACCTCGCCTCACCCCCCTCCACTCCATCTCTCCCTCCTTCCTTTCAGAAGCAATCGCTCTCTCTCCCCATTTCCCCCCCACCTTAATTTAGTGCTCCTGTCGTTTCACGTTCCCTACGCGGAACTCACCCAGATACGAAGGCAATCTGCCTCCCATGTGCTTTTCGTGATCTGTCCGTTCTCTCCCTCTTTCTTCCATCATGTTGTTCGTTCTCTCCATCTGTCGCTCGCTCGCTCATCACTGCGTACCTCCGAGTTTGTCGTTTCTTTCCCTCAACCTCTTATTGCCTTCCTTTTCCTCCCTCGTTTAATGGCCTCTCGTCTAACGCGGCTCACCCCGCCCGCCTGTCTTCAACTAATGCCCCATGTCATCTGAAGGTACAGCATGACAGTTGTCTCTTGTTTCGCTGCACTTTACCATACAATCAAGGTTCTGCTCCCTCTGTCCCATCGACGGCCTCTATTACTGTATAATAACGGCAATACTTAAAGGCCTTTGAGTCTCCAGCCTTTATTTGATCCTGCTAACAAATGGAAACAAATGGCCTTTTGTTGGGAAGAGTCAGTGGGAGAGACATTTGTGCACGGCCAGACCACTTCAGGCCCCTCGTACGTCCATAAGTTTGTCATTGTGAATTAATCTATGTTGTCGGCTGTGTCATACCATGGCGAACCAATCAAAAGAACTGCAAAACAGCATGACGGATATTGGGGTAATTGACGACGAATCGCAAACACTGCCTTAAAACGGTCAGATCCTTTGTTTTTTATAATCCTTTTTGTTTTAGATGCTGTGTATGTATGAATCGGTTCTGTAGTCATAGAAATGATATGGAAAGCATTGATTTGCACAAATACAGTGCTGCCATTGTTTCATTACACCTGGTTCTTGTGTGTGCAGAAGAACTCTGGTAGCGTAGTATAGCCTTAGGCTAATCATATGAATTGCCCATATAAGCAACTGTTTTGAATGTAGGTTACTGTAGCGCTTTGTAGCATGGGCTACAACTCATCGCACAAGCCTGTCAATGTGAATGCCTCACACCAGTCTGTACATGTAGATTGCAAACACCAGTATCACACATGTATCCAAGCATTGCTCTGTATACGTACGTATGGCACCTGTTAATGTGAACGAGCTGTTACAAATGGCAGATCTAGGATCAGCTTACCCTCTCCAAATCCATTACCTCAGCCAGGAGAGGGGTCATTTAGAAACTGACTGCGACTCTGTTAGGGGCTGATTAAGCATATGGCTATACAGTCACCTGCCACAACAAGACCACTTGGTTCTTCAGGTCAGGAGGTCAGACAGTAGACTAGAGGGATAAGGGAAGTGGAGGGCAGTAGGAGGCTTGGGAAGGTCATGCTCCAAAAGATTAAGTATTGCCCAGGGTCATGTTCATTACATGTTCGCAATGGAAAAGGTTTTGCAACAAAAGGAACATTTGTGTTATTATTAGACAAGTTGTTATTAGACAAGTACATTACCTACTGTTTCAGTTTTGTGCCTACTGAACACACCCAGGAGTCTTGGGAAGGTTGAGCTCCACGGTTAAGAAGGGGAGCGTTTTAATGGATCAGTGGCTCATGTCCACCTCCTCTAACCCCCTTAGATTTGAGGGGTAGACTGGGAGCTTAATAGCCCATCGATTAGTCTCCTCTCTGTCCTTGGAAAAGTACTACTCTCAACCCTCAGCGAGTGCGACCCTCCCCCACATCCTGTTATTTTTCCACAATCACTCTTTCCCACTCCATCATTACCTGCATCCTTTCCTCTTCCCCCACTAGGCTGGGATTAGAAAATGACTATGCGATGCGTTGCAGGCAGACAATGAATGGCCCTTGTTAATGGTTTTCTGTTACCTCTTGAAATTGCTTTTATGTAGTGAAGGACAGGTTGTCTGACAACCATTTACTCTTCTAGCTTACTGTATGGTGAGCAGGTGAACAACCAGTGCTGACTTTCTCAGGTTTAGAGTGAATTGATCATAGAAAAGTCCCAAGCCTATTAGCGTACATTAGGCAGCTGATTGTATGGTACTGAACCAAAGTCATACACTGAGTGTACAAAACATTAAGAACACCTGCTCTTTCCATTATTGACCAGGTGAAAGCTATGATCCCTTATTGATGTCACTTGTTAAATCAACTTCAATCAGTGTAGATGAAGGGGAGGAGACAGGTTAAAGAAGGATTTTTAAGCCTTGAGACAATTGAGACATGGATTGTGTATGTGTGCCATTCAGAGGGTGAATGGGCAAGACCAAAGATTTAAGTGCCTTTGAACGGGGTATGATAGTAGGTGCGAGGTGCACCGGTTTGAGTGTGTCAAGAACTGCAACACTGCTGGGTTTTTCACACTCAACAGTTTCCTGTGTGTATCACGAATGGTCCACTACCGAAAGGACATCCAGCCAACTTGACACAACTGTGGGAAGCATTGGAGTCAACATGGGCCAGCATCCCTGTGAAAAGCTTTCGATACCTTGTAGAGTCGGTGCCCCTACGAATTGAGGCTGAGGGCAAAAGCGTCTGCAGCTCAATATTGTTTTGTACACTCAGTGTACAATCAGTCAGTGGTATTCATTCTTGTGAACAGCAGATGGTGTCCATTTAGCCCTTGAGGGTCTTCTCTGAACTCATTTTATATTAAAGCAAATTGGGTCTGTTTTTATTGTTATGTGTTTAGTCTTGCCATACAACATACTCTTAAATCCCATGTCTGCTATTGTCTGCTAACATTACATCTCTGCTATTGTGAAATTCAAATCAAATTTGAATGGTCGTGTACACACAGTTTGCAGAGATGCGGGAGTAGCGGAATGCTTGTTCCTAGCTCCAACAGTGCAGTAATACCTAACAATACATCCCCCAAATAAAATGAAAGGAATTAAGAAATATAGAGACATTAGAACCGCAATGTCACAGTCTGTAATGTATATGATGGTGTGTATAGACATTATGAATAGAAAAGGTTTGTACAGCAGTAGTTATATAGGATGATCCTTGACTAGAATACAGTATATACACATGAAGTGGGTGAAACAGTATGTAAACATTATTAAAGTGACCAGTGTTCAATGACTATGTACATGGGGCAGCAATCTCTAAGGTGCAGGGTTGAGTACTGGGTGATAGCCGGCTAGTAACGGTGACTAAAGTTCAGGGCAGGGTACTGGGCGGAGGCCAGCTAGTGGTGACTATTTAAGTCTGATGGCCTGGAGATAGAAGCTGTTTTTCAGTCTCTCGTTCCCAGCTTTGATGCACCTGCACTGTCTCCGCCTTCTAGATGGTAGCGGGGTGAACAGACTGTGGCTCGGGTGGCTGAGGTCCTTAATGTGATCTTCTTGGCCTTGCTGTGACACCAGGTGCTGTAGATGTCCTGGAGAGTAGGCAGTGTGCCCCCGGTGATGCGTTGGGTGGATCTCGCCACCCTCTGGAGAGCCCTGCGGTTGCGGAGGGTGCAGTTGCTGTACCAGGCGGTGATACAGCCCGACAGGATGCTCTCAATGGTGCATCTGTAGAGGTTCGTGAGGGTCTTAGGGGCCAAGCCGAATTGCTGTTGCGCCTTCAACACGGTCTGTGTGGATGGACCATTTCAGGTTGTCAGTGATGTACACGCTGAGGAACTTGAAGCTTTTCACCCCCTCCACTGCGCTCCCGTTGATGTGGATGGGTGCATGCGCCCTCTGTCTCCTGAAGTCGACAATCCGCTCCTTTGTTTTGTTGACGTTGAGGGAGAGGTTATTTTCCTGGCACCGTTCCACCCTGTACGCTGTCTCATCGTTGTTGGTAATCAGGCCTACAACTGTTGTCGTCTGCAAACTTGATGATTGAGTTTGAGACGTGTGTGGCCACGCAGTCATGGGTGAAGAAGGGAGTACAGGAGGGGGATGAGCACGCACCCTTGTGGGGCCCCCATTTTGAGGATCAGGGTGGCGAAGGTTGTGTAAGTCCAGGACCTAGTTGCACAGGGCTTGGTTCAGACCCAGGGCCCTGAACTTAGTGATGAGCTTGGAGGGTACAATGGTGTTGAAGGCTGAGCTGTAGTCAGTGAACAGCATTCTTACATAGGTATTCCTCTAGTCCAGATGGGATAGGGCAGTGTGCAGTGCGATGACGATTGCGTTATCCATGGATCTGTTCGGCGCGGTATGCAAATTGAATTGGGTCTAGGGTGTCTGGTAAGGTGAACGTGATATGGTCCTTAGCTAGGCTCTAAAGCACTTCATGATGACAGAAGTGAGTGCTACGGGGCGATAGTGATTTAGTTCAGTTACCTTCGCTTTCTTGGGTACAGGAACAATGGTGGACATCCTTGAAGCAAGTGGGGACAGCAGACTGGGATAGGGAGAGATTGAATGTGTCCGCTAACATTACATGTCTGCTATTGCTGTACTGTATCATTACGCCCTCTTGGTCAGGTTATTGTAGACGTGAATGTGTTCTCAATAACCTACCTGGTTAAATAAATGAATTAAAATGTTGTTCTTCCCCAGGCCTGCCACTGGTCACACTGGCCTGTTAATTGGCACATCCAAGCCAGCCGCTGCTGGCTCCAGCAGACCTGCAGCTTCCAGAGTCGGCACCACAGCCCCCTCTACTGGCAGGACTACCACAGCGCAGGCACCCAAACCTTCAGGCCCTGCCAAGAAAGGTGCACATGCCTTACAAGTTGTTTTGTAACATGAATGAAACCCACTTGAATCTAGTTGTATTGAATAATATATTAGAAATGGTAGCAATTGGTGCCGACATCAACTTGAGAAGGTACCATTTTATATTTTTAGTTGTAGTCTTTAATTATTTCTGCTCTGTTACAGATGTCAGCAGACCAGCAACCACTGCCGCAGCCAGAAAGCCGGCAACATCCGCCGCTACCAAAACGACCAAATCTGACCCCCCTAAAGCGGCTGCAGCCTCCAGACCCGAGGCCACCTCCAAAAGGCCCCTTCCCACCAAGGTGGCAGACACCAAGCCAGCCCGCCTTAAACCACAGGACCCCAAGCCCCTGCCCACACGTAAAGCACCTCCCACCACGCGGCCCCCTGCCACCCGACAGCCCCAGGGCAAGACCCCCCCTGTCTCCCCCAGCAACAAGCCTGTGGGCAGCACCACCCCCAAGTTGGTCAAACGAGGCTCCAAACCCACCCAGTCTGTCCTGCCTTTCATTGCCAGACCTGGAGCTCCCAAGTCTGCAGCCACAGCATCTGCAGCAGTGGCTGCTACAGCAGCAGCTGCCACGGCAACAGTCGCCGTGACTGACGCAGCAAAGCCAGAAGTGGCAGCTTCAGAAGTCCCAGCTCCAGCGTCTTCGCCAGCAGTGGCCCTGGAGTTCCAAGAAGAGGTTTCAGCCCCAACTCCTCAGGATACTACTTTTCCATCTCCACCACAGAGCCCACTCAGGCTGGCTCCTGCTGCACCACAGGGCTCACTAGTCACTGTTGCCCAGGAGGAGGGGTCTGAACGACCAGAGACTGCCCCAGCAGCCCCGACACAGCCAGCACCAGACCAGACCTTACCCCAGGACATCCCCACAGCAGTGGCTAGGGCTATACCCAGCCCTCCGGATGCCTCCGAGAAAGCCCAGCTCAACATGGACGAAGAGGAGGACGAGGAGCGGGAGGCCAGCCAGCAGGTGTCCGTGTCAGAAATGAGCGGAACCCAGCCCACAGAAGAGTCCAGGCCTGGCTCGGCCGGCCCTGCGGGCTCGGGGTGGCGTGCAGGCGGCGCACTGCTATCGGAGCTGGACTCTGAGGAGGTGAGCTGCAGCCAGCAGGGGGCGTCGGAGCTGAGCGCCCCGGGCGTCCTGGAGGGCACAGAGAGCATGGATGACCTAGGAGACGCCAGTCTGAAGGGCGCCATCGACATGGAGGGCATGTCTGCCTCGGCTGGCTCGCCTGACTTCGAGAAGGTGCCCGACATCCCGACCAATGATTTTGATGACTACGATGAAGATGGAGACCGGGTGTGTGACATGGAGGTGGGTTCAGAATGGGCGGATGACCCGAGAAGAGTAAGGCATGACGAGGATGAGGATGATGAAGATGTGGAGATGGCCAGTGAGGGGGTGACTGAGAGCGGGCTGGAGAGCTACGGGAATGCAGACGAGGATGACTTTGCGGAGGATGAGAGACTGGACAACCTGAACCGAGCCCCGCCTGCCCCGCTGCTGCCCTCTGCCCTGGCTGCCCAGTGGGACCAACCCAACCCCAACTCCTTTTGTGACCCCTGGGCCCAGCCGCACCCCCAGGCTGCCTCAGCCGGCCCCCTGCAGACCCCTACCAGCCCCTCAGACCCCTGGCAGGCCGATATGGAGACACCCACCCGGCACTCTTCTCAGCCCTGGCTGCAGCTGGCTGCCACACCATTTGTTCCAGCCCTGCAAGAGCCCTCACCCCAGCCTGCCCCTGCATCTCCACTTGAGAAAGACACCCTAGCCCCGATGCAGTCCCTGTCCCCCACAGCTGCCTCCGGCCGTGGCATGTCACACTCCAGCACCCTAAGCGCTACAGAGCTGGCTGTCCACAGCAGCAGCGAGACCAGCACCCCAGAGGAGCTCTGCGACTACAACAGCAGCTCCGGGGTGGAGTCCCGCTCTGAGGGGGGGAAGCTCCACACCCCGCCTGCCGCCCTGGCCCCCGTGCTCTCCCTCCAGCCTGACCTGGAGGACCAGGACCTGGGCATCCACCTGGAGAGAGGGGACGGAGAGGGGGAGGAGGCAGAGGCCCTGCAAGCCGACCAGGTCCCAGGGGACCCCGCCACAGCACCCACGTCCAACCCCTCGTCGTCCTCCACCACGGAGGATGAGGCCAGTGACACGGAGGGCGAGGCCCAGCTGGACGAGCTGGGCCAGGGCATCCATAACGCCACCTTCGACAGCAAGCCCGGCGCCCAGCGCTGCCTGTCCGCCCTGGAGGAAGGGGAGGAGACCAGCGGAGGCGCAGAAGAGGGCGGAGACACCCCCCAGTCTGCCAACTCGGCGGCATCCTACGCCTACGACATGACTGCGTCCAACTCCAATGCCCACTCCACGGCTGAGAGCTGCACTAAGAGCCCTGGCATCTTCTCCCTGGAGGAGCTTCCTGAGGAAGCCAAGGACCCGTCGCTCATCCAGGAGCTGACCCTGCCGCCGCCCCAGCAACAGGCTGCCTTGGCAGACTCCCTTCCAGTCTCCAACCCAGAGGAGCAGCAGTACATGTTGTGTGGGAAGCTTGAGGCAGAGCTGGGGGACACGGGGGATCTGAAACCCCTGGACCCCGCGCTGTTCGCGGCCCCCCAGCAGCCCGGGGAGGGCCCCCGTGTCACCCAACCACCCTACTACTCCACTATATGTGAAAACACTGAGAACTCTCTCACAGGTAACGTATAGTCCCGCCCCCACCCCACCACACCTCCCTACATACCCAGTAACGCACCTTTATCGCACCTTCATCGTTGTTTGTCTCCAATCTCTCCGACTGGGGTGGATGTGATCAAAATGTAGAAGAAGGGAAGGGAAGAAAGAAAGACTTTAAATACAGCAGTGCCACTTCCCTCGTATGATATCACCTTATGAGGATATGGCTTAAAACTCCTGTATGTGCAATAGCTATTACTATTACTATTAGAATGTGTGATTTCTTTTCTTTTTTTAAATTAACATATCCTGAAACATGAACTGGCATGGTTTGATTTGGATTGACTGGGTTGTTGTGAAGCAGCTCTTAAGAAACGTAACAAAAGAAAATGTGGGATGAAATGTTAAACTTTGTATTTATCCGACACTTTTTACTGAACAAGAAAATGCTGGTGAATGTTGATTGTATTTTGTTGCTCTTTTCCATCATTAAGAAACTGACATCTGTCCTCCTTCCCCTCCCCCGAGCACTCCCCTTTCCTTCTGCACTTTAAGGTTAGACTGCCCCCCCCCCCCCCCTCTTTCTTACGTTTGTCCTTTTGGAGTATTTACCATTACCAAGCTTTAAATAAAGATTAGATATTTAACATGACTCCTCTCTCCCGGACAGTTTTATTCAAGTGGGGATTGGGGAGTTGGATGGCACATTTGTACTTATCAGAGATATTAAGTCGTATAACAGAAGTCGAGCTTGTGTCAAAACCTTATGTGGGAGACATTATGTTCAGTGAGGGGAAAAAGTATTTGATCCCCTGCTGATTTTGTACGTTTGCCCACTGATAAAGACATGATCAGTCTATAATTTTAATGGTAGGTTTATTTGAACAGTGAGAGACAGAATAACAACAAAGAAATCCAGAAAAAACGCATGTCAAAAATGTTATAAATTGATTTGCATTTTAATGAGGGAAATAAGTATTTGACCCCTCTGCAAAACATGACTTAGTACTTGGTGGCAAAACCCTTGTTGGCAATCAGAGGTCAGACGTTTCTTGTAGTTGGCCACCAGGTTTGCACACATCTCAGGAGGGATTTTGTCCCACTCCTCTTTGCAGATCTTCTCCAAGTCATTAAGGTTTCAAGGCTGATGTTTGGCAACTCAAACCTTCAGCTCCCTCCACAGATTTTCTATGGGATTAAGGTCTGGAGACTGGCTAGGCCACTCCAGGACCTTAATGTGCTTCTTCTTGAGCCACTCCTATGGCCGTGTGTTTTGGGTCATTGTCATGCTGGAATACCCATCCACGACCCATTTTCAATGCCCTGGCTGAGGGAAGGAGGTTCTCACCCAGGATTTGATGGTACATGGGCCCCGTCCATCGTCCCTTTGATGCGGTGAAGTTGTCCTGTCCCCTTAGCAGAAAAACACCCCCTTAGCATAATGTTTCCACCTCCATGTTTGACGGTGGGGATGGTGTTCTTGGGGTTATAGGCAGCATTCCTCCTCCAAACACGGCGAGTTGAGTTGATGCCAAAGAGCTCCATTTTGGTCTCATCTGACCACAACACTTTCACCCAGTTCTCCTCTGAATAATTCAGATGTTCATTGGCATACTTCAGACGGGCCTGTATATGTGCTTTCTTGAGCAGGGGGACCTTGCGGGCGCTGCAGGATTTCAGTCCTTCACGGCGTAGTGTGTTACCAATTGTTTTCTTGGTGACTATGGTCCCAGCTGCCTTGAGATCATTGACAAGATCCTCCCGTGTAGTTCTGGGCTGATTCCTCACCGTTCTCATGATCAATGCAACTTCACGAGGTGAGATCTTGCATGGAGCCCCAGGCCGAGGGAGATTGACAGTCTTTTGTGTTTCTTCCATTTGCGAATAATCGCACCAAACTGTTGTCACCTTCTCACAAGCTGCTTGCCGATGGTCTTGTAGCCCATTCCCAGCCTTGTGTAGGTCTACAATCTTGTCCCTGACATCCTTGGAGAACTCTTTGGTCTTGGCCATGGTGGAGAGTTTTGGAATCTGATTGATTGCTTCTGTGGACAGGTGTCTTTTATACAGGTAACAAGCTGAGATTAGGAGCACTCCCTTTAGAGTGTGCTCCTAATCTCAGCTCGTTACTGTATAAAAGACACCTGGGAGCCAGAAATTCTTCTGATTGAGAGGGTCAAATACTTTTTCCCTCATTGAAAATGCAAATCATTATACATTTGACGTGTTTTCTGGTTTTTTGTTGTTATTCTGTCTCACTGTTCAAATAAACCTACCATTAAAATTATAGACTGATCATTTCTTTGTCAGTGGGCAAACGTACGAAATCAGCAGGGGATCAAATACTTTTTTCCCTCACTGTACCTGTGGGGCATATGGATTCAAAAGCACTAATGGTCTCCCAGCAAGGAAGCATTCATACCTACATCCTCACATGCCTATAAACACATACATCTTCACCCTACTCCCACCATCCAGAATAGGACTCAACAGAGACATGGAGGATGTCAAACTCCCCACCTCCCCTCTGCTCCTTCTCCCCCTACCTTCTGTGTGTCCCCCCCCCGCTATGTAAGACCTGGTGGAGTGACCCTTCCTTGGTCAGCTGGATCCCTCCATCACCAAACGAACTGAGAAACAACATCAAGAAGGTTCACCATCATCCAAACAGAAGAGAGGATATCCACCAGTGTTTTTTCTTTTCCTCTAGTAATGTGTGTTTTGCCTTTTTGTTTCCGTTCTGCCTGGCCTCTGCATTGTTTGAGATCACTGTTGTATCTACAAGTGCATGTCCACCGCACACCATTTAACCGCACTGTTGAACTACTTTACACTTGGGACGCCTTGTTTGCATGTCACTGACTGACTGACACTCATTGGCTTTGGTTTGTTGAGGGCTTGGTCCCAAATGGCACCCTAAATAATGCATGGGCCCTGGTCAAATATGGTGCCATTTAGGACGCTGTCCAGTTCACATGTGGTGCTGCTGTCTTTATGTACTGATGCATGGTGAAAGGTCTTGTCTTGCATGTGTTTCCCACGGGGACGGAAGGAAATGGTTGTTTGCTCACAAGCTTTTCTTTATTTTTATATTACAAGACTATAGTTGGTAGTTACTGCATATACAGGAAGTTGGGCTGCTTTATTGCACAAAACCTTTGCACAAAAGAAATACTATCAGCATATTTTGTTTGGGAAGTCATATTTTGAAAAGGTTAATGAAATAGATGGCTATATTTGCTCTCTGCTTCAACATCCCCAACCAATGCCCCACCCCTCCCACCTCTCCCCGCTGTCACCATTTCTCCTGTGCTCCCATTGCTTCACTTCACCCCTGTCCCCACCTCTTTTTACACGCTTTGCTTTTCAGGCTCTCAATGTTGCACACCTTGCCCATGATATCATGTGAGTGAGGAGGTAGTTCCTGGGTTCAGTAGGTCATATATTGACACACCTTGGCTCTCCTAAACCATTAAGCCCAGCTACAATTGTCAATTTAGCGTTCAAACAGCCCCTATGCCAGAAATGTATGAATATCTACAGGTAACTGCCCAAATAATGGAAAAACGAGTAAATGAGGGTTGCAAAGTATATTGTAGCAGGTGCTTCCACACAGGTGTGGTTCCTGAGTTAAACAATTAACATCCCATCATGCTTAGGCCATGTATAAGTATACTGGGTTAGCTATTATTTTGGCTACCATGGCTATGCCCCCCTATAGGATGACAATACCTCCCACAGGGCACGAGTGGTCACTGAATGGTTTGATGAGCATGAAAACGATGTCAACCATATACCATGGCCGTCTGTCACCAGATCTCAACCCAATTGAACATTTATGGGAGATTCTGGAGCGGTGCCAGAGATTTTCCACCACCATCATCAAAAATGTAATTTCTCGTGGAAGAATGGTGTCGCATTCCTCCAATAGAGTTCCAGACACTTGTAGAATCTATGCCAAGTTGCATTGAAGCTGTTCTGGCTCGTGTTGGCCCAACACCCTATTAAGACATTGGTGTTTCCTTTATTTTGGCAGTTACCTGTACAATATATTAGTTGTAAGTTGCCTGTGATGATACACAATACATCACTTTTCAAGCCAAAATTACAATCTCTCGAAGCTACATATTTACTGTGTGTAGAATACCAGGACACTACATCAGTCTTAAACTCCTCCTACTAAAGTCTCCTTGGTAGACTACAATACCCACAGTCTCTGTTCTCTGCTCTCACCCACACTGCACCGCTCTCTCTCACTTGTCTGTCTTTCCCTCTTTCTAACACGCCGCCTGCCGGGTGATCTCCACTTCCTCCTCGCAGGGCTCAACGCACTCCCCCAGCCACACTACCGCCGCGACCACCACCACGACCCCAAGCCCCACTGTGACCTCTTGACCCCACCCAGGCTGACCTGTGCTGACCTGCCCCCCCGGAGCCCTCGCCTGCAGGCCAGCCCCCAGCTCCGCAGACTGGAACGGCACCAGCAACAACTACTAGAGATGCAGCAACGCAGAGAACAGCAGGGCAAACCCAAAGAAGAAAAGGACGAAGAGTCGAGGAAGAAGAGAGAGGAGATGAAGAAAAAGGAGGCGGAGCAGCAGGAGGAGAATCTGAGGAGGGAGGAGCTGGAGAGGCAGCAGCGGGACCCTCCACTTCAGCTGCAGCAGCAGCAGGAGGAGCTGAAGCAGAGACAGCAGATCATGCAGTGGCAGCAGGAGCTGGAGGAGCAGACGCAGCAGACGTCACCGCAACAACAACAGCCCCAAAAAGGTCAGGCAACAGTGCTGCTTTCGCCCTCCTCTGGTCTCCATACCATTTATGAAGCCTTGGAGAGTGATGAAGAAGAGGGGAAGGAAATCGAGGTTCATGTCCAGCTTGAGCAACAGGAAGAAGCACCGCTGGAGAAAGAGGTTGACAGTAACAGCGACCGTCGAGAGGTATTGGACGAGGACGGAGCCGATAGCAAGTCCACCTCTACTCTCAGTCCCTCTCCAGACTCCCCCGAGCAAGGAGAGTCCCGGGATGCCGCCTCAGCCCCCGTTTCCCCAGAATGCCCACCTCCCCTGGACCTGGATTGGGGGAAGAAAATTGATATTGTCCAGCAGCTGATCAACCAAACCCTGCTGCTGACGGGCAACGGCTGCTCCTCCCTGGTCCTGCTTCCTGGGGGCAGAGGGGGCACCCTGAGCCCCCTGGAGGCCAGCCTGTGGCCCAACCTGCTGCCCCCCCTCACCCCTCCCTCAGCCACGGTCACGTCGGTCAGCAGCTTCTCCCCGGAGGCCCCCGGCCAGTCCCCCCAGGGCGAGTGGACAGTGGTGGAACTGGAGACACACCACTGAGGGATGTAGAGAGACACACACACACAGTGAAGACTAATGGTCACACACACTGCTCCACAATGTTATTCAAGGTCTGTCAGTCACATCACTGCTGTACACAACACTACAACACAACACTACTTTAACCTTTACACTGTAACACAACGCCTCTATTTGCCATTCAACACCACTGCAAATACAACACTACTGTTTGATACACTGGACTGATACCACTGAATCCTCAAACATGATACCTTTTGAATGGGTGGCAAAGGAGACTGACACCACAGTCATATCAATCACAGACTGACTCGCACTGGAATTGTACACCTCTCTCTCTCATGCCAAAACAATGTGCCATGTTAGGTTACACATCAACAGTCCCAGAAGGCCACTACCTTGATTAGGCTGGTTCACTGAAGCCTCTGGACCAGCTATTTGGGTAGAATGAACAGTGACAACTTGTTAGCCATGGTCCATTTTACTGAAACCAAAACTACTGTATTCATTGCACACTCGCAATATTTTCAGATGGGGACCTAGCTGATTCAGTTTACACTGGAGATGTTCCACTACAGACTCGGTTTATGATTAGTATAGATCAGGGGTCCCCAACCCTGTTCCTGGAGAGCTGCCCTGTTGCAGGTTATTGCTCCAATCCCAGTTCTAACTAACCTGGTTCAGTTTATCAACCAGCGAATTATTAGAATCAGGTGTGCTAGATTAGGGTTGGAGTGAAAACCTACAGGACAGTAGTTCTCCAGGAACAGGGTTGGAGAGCCCTGGTATAGATGTTTAACTGACTGATATTCCCCTTGACTAATATTGGTCTGAATTACTGATGACGAACTGCACTTGACTAGACCAGTATCCTATAATGATGAACATGTCACTCACTCAATGCCTGCTTTGCTTTGTGCTTCAAACAGTTTCGATTTACTGTAGAGAGCAAAACATCTTAGAATCCCTAGAAGGCCCTCAAATTGCTGAGGGCCTTCATCCTTTCTAAGAATTATATTTCTATGGGCCAAGTTCCGGTGTTTCTCTGACATCAAACCAGAGGCCTGCCACCAGCTGAGGTAAAACACTGGTTGGCCGTATGTGTTCAGGGTGGTATTTCACTAAGCAGGAACTATTTTGTGATCCAGCTTTGTGAAATACGCCTGGGTGCTAATGAAATGAAGGATATTTGTTTCTATTGCATGCCACTGCTGACTCCGATGAAGGCCACCAGAAATATAGGTTTATTTATTTTCAGAAGCACTGTCTCATGTCTTTGTTCTGGAGACTTGGCCCCATATCCTGGGTGGTTTTCATCATGTTTGGTCTCGTTTCTGTGGTTATGGATGATGTCATAATGGGGAGCGGGTGTGGGGGGTGGGAGCGGTCATGACATTGATACGAGGTAATAATAATAATATGCCATTTAGCAGACGCTTTTATCCAAAGCGACTTAGTCATGCGTGCATACATTTTTGTGTATGGGTGGTCCCGGGGATCGAACCCACTACCTTGGCGTTACAAGCGCCGTGCTCTACCAGTTGAGCTACAGAGGACCACAGGTAATGGAGAAATGAACAGGGAATTGAAGAGTGTCCGACAACACAAAGACTAGATTACTCTGGGGATATAACCGGTTCTTCTGTGAGGCTGCTGGGTCCTAGCCTGGTCCCAGATCTGTTTGTGCTGCCCATCTGCCCAACTCCTATGATAGCTTGGAGTGACAGAGGCCATAGGCGTTGCCAAGATGACGCGACCAGTCTAGATGGGTCCAGACCAGTCATGGGTTTTTTGGGGAAATATTGGGGTTAGTCATTAACTATATTTGATGGATGATGGTACAGACTTGTCCTTGTGGATGTGTGTACATGTATGTTATGTGTGTGTCTGGATGGAAAGGAACTGCATATGAAGAAAACAATTTGAAGTACCTCAGTGGATTTTGAATATGGATGGATTATAGAGCCTTTGAAAATAGATGATTTATTGCTCCATGTCAGATCAGGTTTCAAACTGAAGGTACATGAGTCAAACACTTGTCTTTACTATAAGGGTACTTGTGTTCAAATGTGAACTTGCGTTGAGCCTCACTGAAGTTGACTTTCCAACAGGAGTGTCATCTATTCAGCAGAAACATGGATCTTTAATTGTGGTTGAACTTTGAGCCCTAAGGACAGTCCACTGTGTGTGGGGCAACGACCTTGGATGGACAGAAACAGTTGGTTGTCCCAACAGGGTTTGGGATGAAGATCTGTGAACGCTGAGACCGACACTCCTTCACATACCATAGGGATGGACTCAACAGTCGATACAACCACACTCTGCTGTGAGGCCAGGGCTAGCAGATACTATATAGTGGGGGAAAAAAGTATTTAGTCAGCCACCAATTGTGCAAGTTCTCCCACTTAAAAAGATGAGAGAGGCCTGTAATTTTCATCATAAGTACACGTCAACTATGACAGACAAATTGAGGAAAAGAAAATCCAGAAAATCACATTGTAGGATTTTTAATGAATTTATTTGCAAATTATGGTGGAAAATAAGTATTTGGTCACCTACAAACAAGCAAGATTTCTGGCTCTCACAGACCTGTAACTTCTTCTTTAAGAGGCTCCTCTGTCCTCCACTCGTTACCTGTATTAATGGCACCTGTTTGAACTTGTTATCAGTATAAAAGACACCTGTCCACAACCTCAAACAGTCACACTCCAAACTCCACTATGGCCAAGACCAAAGAGCTGTCAAAGGACACCAGAAACAAAATTGTAGACCTGCACCAGGCTGGGAAGACTGAATCTGCAATAGGTAAGCAGCTTGGTTTGAAGAAATCAACTGTGGGAGCAATTACTAGGAAATGGAAGACATACAAGACCACTGATAATCTCCCTCGATCTGGGGCTCCACGCAAGATCTCACCCCGTGGGGTCAAAATGATCACAAGAACGGTGAGCAAAAATGCCAGAACCACACAGGGGGACCTAGTGAATGACCTGCAGAGAGCTGGGACCAAAGTAACAAAGCCTACCATCAGTAACACACTACGCCGCCAGGGACTCAAATCCTGCAGTGCCAGACGTGTCCCCCTGCTTAAGCCAGTACATGTCCAGGCCCGTCTGAAGTTTGCTAGAGTGCATTTGGATGATCCAGAAGAGGATTGGGAGAATGTCATATGGTCAGATGAAACCAAAATATAACTTTTTGGTAAAAACTCAACTCGTCGTGTTTGGAGGACAAAGAATGCTGAGTTGCATCCAAAGAACACCATACCTACTGTGAAGCATGGGGGTGGAAACATCATGCTTTGGGGCTGTTTTTCTGCAAAGGGACCAGGACGACTGATCCGTGTAAAGGAAAGAATGAATGGGGCCATGTATCGTGAGATTTTGAGTGAAAACCTCCTTCCATCAGCAAGGGCATTGAAGATGAAACGTGGCTGGGTCTTTCAGCATGACAATGATCCCAAACACACCGCCCGGGCAACGAAGGAGTGGCTTCGTAAGAAGCATTTCAAGGTCCTGGAGTGGCCTAGCCAGTCTCCAGATCTCAACCCCATAGAAAATCTTTGGAGGGAGTTGAAAGTCTGTGTTGCCCAGCGACAGCCCCAAAACATCACTGCTCTAGAGGAGATCTGCATGGAGGAATGGGCCAAAATACCAGCAACAGTGTGTGAAAACCTTGTGAAGACTTACAGAAAACGTTTGACCTGTGTCATTGCCAACAAAGGGTATATAACAAAGTATTGAGAAACTTTTGTTATTGACCAAATACTTATTTTCCACCATAATTTGCAAATCAATTCATTAAAAATCCAACATTTTTTCTGTCATAGTTGACGTGTACCTATGATGAAAATTACAGGCGCCTCTCATCTTTTTAAGTGGGAGAACTTGCACAATTTGTGGCTGACTAAATACTTTTTTTCCCCACTGTATGTATCTGGAAATCAAACCCTTTTCCACCAGAAGCACAGCAAGCAAGGGCCCTTTATATAAATGGTAGCTAGATTCTCCACAGTGTCTTTTTCAAGCCGTTTCCATGTGTAGCCAAGTAGCTGCCATTTTCTAAGGCAGGTTGGTACATTCCGATTTGAGGGCTCGGCCATTTCTACTCCCAAATCCCAAAGCGGCACGCACAACGCATCGGTCAAAGCTGGACTTTATCTCTTATGTATTTTAAATGTCTTGTCACTGTAGTGTTTTGTATACTGTTAGTGTATATTATTACTGAAAGGAGACTCTGAGACCATTTATTGCAATGAAGGGAACCCACTGGATTTTTATTTTGTACTGCAGAGCATATTTTAGAAGTATGGTAGATTAAAAAGAGGTAACATTATTTATAGATTTAAAGCAGATATTGTTTTAGAGAATGAAGGTTAATGGTTGTAGATGTAATGGTTTATTTAAATTCTCTCAAGATGTGACAGTTTAATTTCTGTGGGGACTATACTTGTAGACCTTTTGCTTTTGTTTGTATGATGTTTTGCCTGCATTTCTTAAAAATCTTTTCAATAGTTATCAGGGGATATGAAGTGAATAGACCGTGTTCAGTGCCAGTGCTTCCATGAACATGCTTGATGTATTTGTAACTGATCAAACCATCTACAAACATATCAAACATTCACATCTAACTGGTTTCGAAATTATATCATGCAAGTTACAGAACTATCACACCCAATGGAGCATGTCTGGGAATCACTAGTACTGAAATATATGGAATCTTCCCATTTTTGTAAAGTTTTGTAATTTATTTAACAATGAAGGGAAACCCCCTTGTAATTACTGTCAATATTTTAGTTGAAATGACGTTGGCATTTTCACATGTTGTGGAGTTCAAATTACGGCAGCTTGTTTAAATACGTAATATTTCCTTGAGGTTCTGTGACTTTGAAGGAATAATGTGTGTGTCAATATTTCAATGCATTTTATTTAGAGAAAATAAAATGATTTTCATTTGCAATAAATTGTTTTCCTTCATTAATACTTCAACCCATTACTGCCCTCCCATAGCAAGTAGAAAGAAGTCAGCTCTCCTTTCCAAATACCACCTTGGGGCTAGATTCAATCCATAGCGCAGAAAATCTGCGGAGACTGCATTCATGCTCAATGCTGCATATGTCAACTTAATCGGAATCGTGCAGATCTTCCATGCAACGGATTGAATTACAGTTATGGTCTTGTTACATTGCTTAGAGATTTACATTTAAGAAATTGCAAGAACGGGTGATAATGCTTGTTTTTTTTATATATTGTTTTTATAATGCAGAATGTTTTTTGGTGTTTGGTACTCTTGCTTGCCAGACCAGTCATACCTGGGGCTAGGTTTGAGAGGTTTATCCTGGGTTGGAGGAAAGATGTTCCTGTTCCACCATGCTGAATTCTCAATGTGCAGAGAAAAAAACATCTCACTAGTTCTCCCTTCGTCTTTAACAAACATCTAAACATAACTTAGCTCAGACTTGTGCTATGTTTGGTGATTTAGTGGATCAAGAGGAACTGACAAAGGGGGGGTATGTCCACAGTCCTGTGCCATAAAGGTCCAGGCCCTTAGACATACAGGTCTAGGATCAGTTTTACCCTCCACTGGCTCCACAAATCCAACTCATAACCATAGATCAGTCTATAGAATGATGAAAAATGACAAATGCAAGGAGTAAACATTTAATGGATCAATAAGACTATTCTCGAGACATACCAAAAATAAACTACCAAGAATTCTTGTTTATAATGACGACTACATCAAGAGACAGAACAGCAGACCTGTGAGTTTAACTACTCTGTACTGTTAGATCAAACCAACTTTATTTACAGTTGAAGTCAGAAGTTTAAATACACCTTAGCCAAATACATTTAAACTCAGTTTTTCACAATTCCTGACATTTAATCCTAGTAAATTCCCTGTCTTAGGTCAGTTAGGATCACCACTTTATTATAAGAATGTAAAATGTCAGGATAATAGTAGAGTGATTTATTTCAGCTTGTATTTATTTCATCACATTCCCAGTGGGTCAGAAGTTTACATACACTCAATTAGTATTTGGTAGCATTGCCTTTCAATTGTTTAACTTGGGTCAAACATTTTGGGTAGCCTTCCACAAGCTTCCCACAATAAGTTGGGTGAATTTTGTCCCATTCCTCCTGACACAGCTGGTGTAACTGAGTCAGGTTTGTAGGCCTCCTTGCTCGCACACGCTTTTTCAGTTCTGCCCACACATTTTCTATAGGATTGAGGTCAGGGCTTTGTGATGGCCACTCCAATACCTTGACTTTGTTGTCCTTAAGCCATTTTGCCACAACTTTGGAAGTATACTTGGGGTCATTGTCCATTTGGAAGAACCATTTGCGACCAAGCTTTAACTTCTTGACTGATGTCTTGAGATGTTGCTTCAATATATCCACAATTTTCCTTCCTCAAGATGCCATCTATTTTCTGAAGTGCACCAGTCCCTCCTGCTGCAAAGCACCCCCACAGCATGATGCTGCCACCCCCGTGCACGGTTGGGATGGTGTTCTTCGGCTTGCAAGGCACCCTGTTTTTCCTCCAAACATAACGATGGTCATTATGGCCAAACAGTTATACTTTTGTTTCATCAGACCAGAGGACATTTCTCCAAAAAGTACAATCTTTGTCCCCATGTGCAGTTGCAATCTGTAGTCTGGCTTTTTTATGGCGGTTTTGGAGCAGTGGCTTCTTCCTTGCTGAGCGGCCTTTCAGGTTATGTCGATATCGGACTCGTTTTACTGTGGATATAGATACTTTTGTACCCGTTTCCTCCAGCATCTTCACAAGGTCCTTTGCTGTTGTTCTGGGATTGATTTGCACTTTTCGCACCAAAGTACGTTCATCTCTAGGAGACAGAACGCGTCTCCTTCCTGAGCAGTATGATGGCTGCGTGGTCCCATGGTGTTTATACTTGCGTACTATTGTTTGTACAGATGAACGTGTTACCTTCAGGCGTTTGGAAATTGCTCCCAAGGATGAACCAGACTTGTGGAGGTCTAGAAAAAAAATCTGAGGTCTTGGCTGACTTCTTTTGATTCTCCCATGATGTCAAGCAAAGAGGCACTGAGTTTGAAGGTAGGCCTTGAAATACATCCACAGGTACACCTCCAATTGATTCAAATTATGTCAATTAGCCTATCAGAAGCTTCTAAAGCCATGATATCATTTTCTGGAATTTTCCAAGCTGTTTAAAGGCACAGTCAACTTAGTGTATGTAAACTTCTGACCCACTGGAATTGTGATAGTGAATTCAAGTGAAATAATCTGTCTGTAAACAATTGTTGGAAAAATTACTTGTGTCATGCTCAAAGTAGATGTCCTAACCGACTTGCCAAAACTATAGTTTGTTAACAAGAAATTAGTGGAGTGGTTGAAAAACTAGTTTTAATGACTCCAACCTAGGTGTATGTAAACTTCCGACTTCACATAAATATAATTGTTCTATTGTAAAACGTTCTATCTGAAACCCACAGAATGAATGATCCAGAGTTGCTTTGCTTTTCCAAAAAATGTCTTTGTCCTTATTTGTTTATTTGTGTTTTCATCCTGTTTGTTTTTCTTTGGGGTCTTTCTTTCCTGTGTAAGTCAGTATGTGCAAGTCCGTATATGTTCAGTTAGGTTCCCCTTCCGATTGAAGCTTTTCCCACAGTCTCTACAGCTAAACGGTTTTTCTCCTGTGTGAGTCAGTATGTGCCTCATTAGGTCCCCCTTCTGAATGAAGCTTTTCCCACAGTCTCTACAGCCAAACGGTTTCTCTCCTGTGTGAATCCTCATGTGCCTGGAAAGATGTCCTTTGAGTTTGAACGTCTTTCCACAAAAGGGGCAGGTGCAGGGTCTCTCCACCTGACAGAGTCTGACATGGGCCTTCAATATACAGGTGGAGTTGTAGCGTTTTTTGCAGAAGCGGCATTCGCTGGGTCTCTTCTTGGCGAGAGTCACGTGCCCCTGCAGGTCAGCTTTCAGTGCAAACGTTTCTCCACAGTCACAGCAGCGGTGAGTTTTTCTAGACGTGGTGCTGGGTTTGGAACAGTGTTCCCCCATTGATAGGTTGGTATCCAATGGTGGGCTGGGATGCAATGGTGACAGCAGCCTAAGTCTTACTGGGTCACTGATTACAGCTGAGCTGTGGCTGGAGGCACTGTTTTGATTATCTGGAGGGTCACAGGGAATGTCGAGACCCTTTAGGTGGGTAACAGTGACAAAATGTGGGAGATCCACTGGTTTAGAGTTACTTTCTCTGTTCTCCACCGTCTGGGATTGGGTAAGAGCAAAGGACTGAAGTCGGTTTTCCTGATCACATTTACTTTTCACACAAGGAGGAGGTAATTTGAACACTATGATATCAGCCTCCTGCCCTTGAAGCTGCTCTTCCTCCTGACTGGTCCAGAGTTCCTCCTGTTCCTCTTTAATCTGTGTGGGTTCTAGGTCCTCCTGCTGCAGACTGGGTCTCCACTCCTGCTCACAGTGCTGCTGCTCAGGGGGATCCTCCTCTTCAGAGACAGCAAGAGAGAGCTGAAGGGACTCTAGAGGGAAGGCGAGGAGGAGCAGATGTTATCTATACCACCTAAATAAAAAGAACAATCTATGATCAATATATATATATATATATATATTATATACATTCATATACATACATACATACATATAGACATGTGTATCACATATAAGACATGTTATACATATAGACAGACTAACATATAACACTGATACATAAACACAATTATATATATAATACATACACATACATTAAGTACTATACACGACGTAATATATATATATACATACACATATACATATACATATATACACATACATACATACATATACATATATTCATACATATTTATATATGTATGTATATGTGTGTATGTATGTACAGTATATATATATATATATGTATATATAAAATAGACAGATATACACACACACAGCTTTTAGACATGCCTGAGTGAGCATACCTAGCTATATGCTATTTCAATAGATTTTCGTGAATCTTTTTTCATCATGCACGGTCAAAGTTTATTTATTATAAAATGGTGATCATTGTTAGCCTAAACAACTTAGCTCTTCATCAAGAAGAATTGCAGCTAGATATTTGTAGATATTCATTCGAACCTTTTCTACATTGTTTTATGTCCGGTGTAATCCGCAGCAGACTCCGTAGCCGATCATTCTCATCCTGGTACTCCGCTACAGTTTTCTCAACTGCCCCAAAAATCTCCACAGCAGCCGCCGTTAAACGCTCATTTAAGAACACGCGCAACATCTGTAATGTAGACATTTTCAGTCGAGTGTGAGGTGAGTATTCAACTAGTATGGCAAATATACTGATAACTAACCCCTTTTGTTTGTGGTATGACTTCATCCAGGAGGAAAAATGATGGCCACAAACAAAACAAACCCTCTCCCAGTTTTACATCCGTATTGTCTTCTTCTGTTTGTATCAGTCAGTGGTGAGCCAGTGAAACACATCACAGCACCCCCATGTGGAGGGTTGCTTACTAGAGAATACAATGTTTCTAAACCAGCCAGGTCAGCCGTGATACAAGTCAGTATTCGAAGTCAATCCATGTCTGAGGACGTCGGGAGATGACGTGGAAACCGACTACTAGGGGCAAAAACAGTGAGCGCTGTTACCTTCAAGTAGGTTTCGGTTCTGCTAGGGTGTCGTGAACAGGGATGGTGGATGGGCATAAGAATCTGCCTCTGGTGCCAAAGGCTGCATTAACTCCGAAATCTTAAGGTTTGGCATTAACTCTGAATGGTTAAGGTTAGGGTTAAGGTTTGGGATAGGCTTAAACAAAAATCTAAAAAAACAACTTAGCTGGATTCAAACATGCAACCTTTGGCACCAGTGGCAGACTTTTAGGTAAAATGTTCTGCCTCTGGTTTTTGAGATTTATATTTTAAGTCTATCCCAAACCTTAACCCTTACCTTAACCATTCAAAGTTCATGCCTAACCTTAACCTTAACAATTTGGAATTAATGTATATTTTAAACTTAACCTTAAACACTTTGAAATGTGACATTTGGAACAACTTCGAAATTCAATGTTTGAGAAACATGGATGAACATCTAATTCTGAAGTAAGACTGAGAGCTTGTTGTTCTAAACACTTCTACATTCTTGTGGATGCTACCATGATTAAGGATCATCCTGAAATAATCAGTGAATAATGTTGAGTGAGAAAGTTAAAGAAGCACAAATATCATACCCTCCAAAAAATGCTTACCTCCCCTGTTATTGTAATGGTGAGAGGTTAGTATGTCTTGGGGTATGACATTTGTTCATCTTACTTTCTAACTCATTATTATCAGGATTCATTCAGGATGATCCATAATCATGGTAGCATCCACATTAATGTAGAAGTGTTTAGAAACATATTATATTGTTATTTACAATAAAAGTGACTCTAAAATGACACTACATTATTTACCATTCATTTCTATAGAGCACAAAATAATCTGAAACACAACCAAAACAAACAGAAAATGCATCCAACAAGTTTGTAGAGTCTCAAGCTTGATGTAGTCATTGCGTGCTAGTTATATGGGACCAAATACTAAACGTTTGACTACTTTAATACACATGTAAGTGAATTTGTCCCAATACTTTTGGTCCCCTAAAATGGCGGGACCATGTACATAAAGTGCTGTAATTTCAGTTCACCTGATATGGATGAAAGTACACTCAAATTAAAGCTGTCAGTCTGCACATTAACCTCACAATCATTGTATCATTTCAAATCCAAAGTGCTGGAGTACAGAGACAAAATTGTCACTGTCCCAATACTTTTGGAGCTCACTGTAGGTCAGATCAGAAATAGCTTCATAATAAGATAATACATCAGTGCATTATCACTTATCTACCTACAACATATTTGGCTTGACAGCAGCAACAACAAAAAACATTAAAGCTATTTTTCTGTTTCACTGTTTGCGTAGTTTCTGCTATTTGCCTTTGCAGGGCAGTATAAATATCTAGCCAAAACTCAACTTGACATTTAGTATCTTCTCTCTCAAGTTGAAACGCAGTTTGCCCATTATGTTAGCACCGCAGTGACGAACCAGGGATATAGCTTGAAAACGTACCTCAATCCAGGGATGGTAGGTGTCGCTCAGAGGAGGCTGCTGAGGGGAGGACGGCTCATAATAATGGCTGGAACGGAGCACATGGAACGGCATCAAACACATGGAAACCATGTGTTTGATGTATATGATACCATTCCACCTATTCAGCTCCAGCCATTACCATGAGCCCGTCCTCCCCAATTAAGGTGCCACCAACTTCCTGTGGTGTCATTGTACTCCTTCGATTTCGTGGCTGTGATAATTATATAATTAGAAGATTGAAATACTACTCATTTTGAATTAAACTGCCTTTTTGTCAGCACGCTAAAGATAGCTAATGCTAATGCAGCACATTGGATTCCACAACACTTACTGCAGCTACTCACCCCAATGCTGGGCGTTGCATTTTAATGGAATCCAATGTGCTGCTTTAGCATTAGCTACTCTTTAAAGAACAATTTTGAATGTAAATTTTACTGTGCATGATTAAAAAGTTGTCTGTCACAAAAAGCTTATTGAAATAGCATATTGCTTGGTATGTACACTCAGGCATGTCTAAAGAATATAGGTCTATATATCATAGAGATCTATCATTCTGTTGTATCATTCAGTTGTTCTATTTAATTCTGTGGTATACAGATAACCTCTGCTCCTACTCGGCTTCCCTCCAGACTCCCTGCAGCTGTCTTTGAAGAGAATGTTCCCTTGAGTAGCAGCACTTTGAGCAGGAGTGGGGCCCCAGTCTGGGGCAGGAGGACCCAGAGCCCACACAGATTAAACGGGAAATGGAGGAAGTCAGGACCAGTCAGGAGGAAGAGCAGCTTCAAGGGCAGGAGGCTGATATCATAGAGTTCAAATTCCCTCCTCTTTGTGTGAAAAGTGAATGTGATCAGGAGAATCCATTTCATTCCTTTCCAAACTCAGACTGTGGAGAACTGAGATACTGCCTCTAAACCAGTGGATCTCACACCTTTTGTTACTGTTACCCACCTAAAGAGTCTTGACATTCAGATAATCAAAACAATGCCTCCAGCCACAGGTCAGCTGTAAGTAGCAACCCAGTAGGACTTGACAGCAGCCCACCATTGGATCCCAACCCATCAATGGGGGAAAACTGTTCCAAACCCAGCACCACGTCTAGAAAAACTCACCGCTGCTGTGACTGTGGGGAAACGTTTGCTCTGAAAGCTGACCTGCAGGGGCATGTGACTCTCTCCAAGAAGAGACCCAGAGAATGCCGCCTCTACAAACACTACAACTCCACCTGTAAATTGAAGGCCCATGTCAGACTCTGTCACGTGGAGAAACTCTTCACCTGCCTTTTTTGTGGAAAGACCTTCAAACTCAAAGATCTGTCCAGACATATGAGGATTCACACAGGAGAGAAAACATTTAGCTGTGATGACTGTGGGAAAAGCTTCAATCGGAAGGGGAACCTGAACTTGCACATACTGACTCACACAGGAGCGAACGTCCACAAAGAAAGAAACAAATAAAGAAAACAGGATGGAAACACAAAGAAGAAACAAATTAGGACAAAGACATATTGTCAGAAGATGGACAACACTCTTTGGAAAAGCAAAGCAACTCTAGATCATTCATTCTCTGTGTTTCAGATAAATTTATGTAATGAATATACTTTTGTAAAATGTTCTATGTAAATAAAGTTTGATTTGATCTAATAGTACAGATTAGTTGAAAACTCACAGGTCTGCTGTTCAAAGTCTCTTGATGTATTCACATCATTATAAAACAGGAATTCCTGGTAGTTTGTTTTGGAATGTCTCCAGAATAGTCTGAAGGATGTTATAGATATATTTTTTAAAAAATTATACTCAAAGAAAATGTGTCCTTGCATTTGTCCAATATTATTTTAAATCAATTTTGTCTTAATGCTGCTCATTTATGATATTGATTTCATCTTGTATATTACATTTTTTAAATACTGTTAATGTTCATACAGTGTATATGGTAGGCAACTACAGACTGATCTATGGTCCGTTTTGTGTTTCCCCTCCTCATGGTTTTGAGTAGGATTCGTGGAGACAGTGGAGGGTAAGCTGATCCTAGACCTGTATGTCTAAGGGCAATGTCTAGACCTTTATGGCCCAGGACTGTGGCCATACCCCTCTTTATTGTCAGTTCCCCCTAAACCACTACATCGCACAAGTCTGAAGCACTAACTGGATATACTGTCCTCAGACATTGAAAATCTAGGGCTCAATTAATTCCATATCGCAGAAGATCTGCGGTATAGTGCAATTTAAATGTAAAGGTCATTTCCTATTGAGTCGACATACTGTTTGCAGTGTTTACTGTGACTGCAATTGGCGCAAAGGCAGGAACATTGCCTTTAAATTTCAATCACACTATGCCATGGATCTTCTGCGATAGATTTTTTATATACAGACCGAAATCCCACTAATTTACCATGCCTGCTTCTTTTTGCATGCTTTTTTGTATATCTGAAAGGGGTAGGTGGTAAAAAACAAGGAAAAATAAAACCCAACTAAAGACCTAGGGCTCTATTCAATCCGTATCACAGAAATTCAGCGTGATTGAAATTTAAAGGCACTGTTCCCGCATTAGCAGACTGCATTCATGGCATATGTGGGCTCAATCAGAAAAGACCTTCAAAGGTATACTTCGGGATTGTGGCAATGAGGCCCTTTATCTCGTGGATACCATTTCTATGTCTCTGTTTTCAGTATGAAGGAAGTTAGAGGTAGTCTATGGGTATCTGCTAGCATGCTAGTAACGCTTCAGCAAGTTTTACTTGAAGCTACAGACCAGTGATGATGGAAATAGATAACTTCATGTGGGGAAACAGTTTTAATTAGTAATAGGGTGATTTAGGATGGTGAACTGAATTGAAAGACAACACATTGTAACACAGGCGACTCCTGACAACTGCAACAGCTTGGGACTGATGTGAAAGCATGCACTAAACCAGAGAATGCGGTTATCAGAAGCAACTACAAAGAATGTCACAAGCACTTAAAACAGAGTTTTCACTCATACAAAGTGCACATCAGGAATCGACTGTAAATCATTACTTCCCTAAAGATTCAAACATTATCATGAATGAGCAGCATTAAGTCAAAATTATGACAAAAAGACAGATGGAAGGAGATATTTTCTGGAAAGTGTAATCAACCAGACCATTTTCTCGTCACCCTAAGATTCCAAAACAAACTACAAGATATTCCTGTTTCTAATCATGTGAAAACATCAACAGACTTTGAACAGCAGACCTGTGAGATTCACATAATACTGCATACTACTGTTTGATCATTACCTCTCCCTTCAATTAAAATGAAACTTTATTTACATAGCATGTTTTACAAAAGTAAATTCATCACAAGACAATGGCAAGAATGGTCCAGAGGTGCTTCGCTAAGAGTGTTGTCCACATGCCTTTTTATTCCCATCTTTTGACAGAAGATATTTGTCCTATTTCACTTTCTTTCAGTTTTCATCCTGTTTTCTTTCTTTGTTTCTTTCTTTGTGGACCTTATCCACAAGTTTCAGTAGATAAGCCTTATGAGTGAATCTTTTACCACAGACGAAGCAGCCATGTTGTTTCTCTCCTGTGTGAGTCCGTATGTGCACCTTCAGCTGCCCCCTCCGATTGAAGCTTTTCCCCCAGTCATCACAGCTAAATTTATTTATCTCCTGTGTGAGTCAGTATATGCCTCATTAGGTCCCCCTTCTGAATGAAGCTTTTCCCACAGTCACCACAGCCAAACGATTTCTCTCCTGTGTGAATCCTCATGTGCCTGGAAAGATGTCCTTTGAGTTTAAAGGTCTTTACACAAAAGGGGCAGGTGCAGGGTTTCTCCACGTGACAGAGTCTGACATGGGCCTTCAATTTACAGGTGGAGTTGTAGCGTTTTTTGCAGAGGCGGCATTCGCTGGGTCTCTTCTTGGCGAGAGTCACATGCCCCTGCAGGTCAGCTTTCAGAGCAAACGTTTTCCCACAGTCACTGCTGTAGTGAGTTTTACTAGACGTAGTGCTGGGTTTGGAACAGTGTTCCCCCATTGATAGGTTGGTATCCAATGGTGGGCTGGGATGCAATGGTGACAGCAGCCTAAGTCTTACTGGGTCACTGATTACAGCTGAGCTGTGGCTGGAGGCACTGTTTTGATTATCTGGAGGGTCACAGGGAATGTCGAGACCCTTTAGGTGGGTAACAGTGACAAAATGTGGGAGATCCACTGGTTTAGAGTTACTTTCTCTGTTCTCCACAGTCTGGGTTTGGGGAAGAGTAAAGGACTGAAGTGGGTTCTCCTGATCACATTTACTTTTCAAACAAGGAGGAGGGAATTTGAACACTATGATATCAGCCTCCTGCCCTTGAAGCTGCTCTTCCTCCTGACTGGTCCAGAGTTCCTCCTGTTCCTCTTTAATCTGTGTGGGTTCTAGGTCCTCCTGCTGCAGACTGGGTCTCCACTCCTGCTCACAGTGTTGCTGCTCAGGGGGAACCTCCTCTTCAGAGACAGCAAGAGAGAGCTGAAGGGACTCTAGAGGGAAGGCAAGGAGGAGCAGAGGTTATCTATACCAACTAAATAAACTTTCACTTTTCACACAGGGAGTAGGGAATATGGAGACTTTGATATCAAAGAGCCCTTGAAGCTGCTCTTTCTCCTGATGGGTCCTGACTTCCTCCTCTTCCTCTTTAATCTGTGTGGGCTCTGGGTTCTCCTGCCCCAGACTGAGGCTCCACTTCTGCTCACAGTGCAGCTGCTCAGCAGGAACCTCCTTTTCAGAGACAGTGAGAGAGAGCTGCAGGGAGTCTGGAGGGAAGGAGAGATGGAGCAGCCTTTAGACATCAGTGTCAATAAAAATGTAAGTCTGTAAATTGATATTGCAATTCAAAAATTTAAAACTAGACTCTAAAGACTATTTCCAATTACTTATCAATAAACTAAACATAAAAAGCCATTTGTTTTCAACGTTTTTTCCCATCATGAATTATATGTTCAAATCACTTCCTGGTTTTCGTGACAGGCAAGGTTTTTCTTCATTCACAGTAAAAAATGTAAAACAACTTCTTAAAATTGTTTAGCTGGTGATCACTGTTAGCCTAAACAGTTTATTAATTAAGTAGAACTGTATATAACTGTATATATCATAGAGATAGTTAGAGGATTTAGCTTGGATATAACCGTGTTTTTGCATGTACATTGACATTTAGGGCTTCCATCAGATACATTATAGAAAGCGAGACATCTCATTGGCTCGTTTTTTCTGGTCGGGGGAGTGGGGACTAAGTAGACCAGAGCCAGCCGTTACTGCATTGGTGCCTACGGGAGAGCCAAAGGATTTGTCCGTATATTATAGATTTTCCCCCCACACAGTCACGGTAGTACATTTTTGCCAAATTTTGTGACAAACCAAACGTGTTCTGTGCATTATGAGCCCAAACGGACATCTTTTCAATTAGTAGAAAAGCAATTTTTTAGGTCTGTGCAGTTTCTCAAAGCGCCTGAAGCAGTATTGGACGGCTCATGCGAGAAAGCATGCTAACGCGAGAGGGGGAACACCAATTTACACATACCGGCACATTTACCTTTTGTTTTAAATGGGAAAATGCGGTAAAGCGTCATCTCAATTCCTTCAGTATCTCTGGCTTCCACCATTTTAAAGTAGTCAACTAGGTGGGGATTCCTATGGGTTGGGAGCGATCTGCCAATGATCAGCGCATTGTCTTCTTCAAATTGGGTGCTATGGTTTGTTAATGGCTTTAAGCTATATCCCCGCCATCTAGTGACCACAATAAATGAATGACAAATATAATTTGGTGCAGGACTTAATTACCAATATTAGCTTTAAAAAAAATTCAAACAAAATAAAAACCAAATTGATTACTTTAAAATGTAGATAGCCTCAATGGTGCTGCCCATGCTGTCACACTACACCATAATGGCACAGATACAACGTTTTGATGTTTTTCCATCTCTATATTTACATACAACCCTATTATACATCGTTTAATCTCAGGTGTAATCCGCAGGAGTCTCTGTAGCCAATCATTCTCCTCCTGATACTCTGCTACCATTTTCTCAACAGCACCCGCCGTTAAACGCTCATTTAAGAACACACGCAGCAACTGTAGTTTGGACATGTTTCAGTCGACTGAGAGTTTGGTATTCAGCTAGTATGGCTTCGTCCATGAGGAAAGAATGGTGGTAAATTAACAAACAAAACAAACCAGAAAATCCAGTTTCACTTCCGCATTGTCTTCTATTTGTATCAGTGAGGGCGAGCCCATTTTCAGTCAACTGAAAGTTGTGTTTTCAGTTGGTTTAAATGATGAATGGCTCTTTTCGGTGAACGTCGGGAATCGCTTTTTCTTCTTCTTCAGTGGGGTTTATCAGCGTTTGTCATCCAACGTTACGGTGCATTACCGCCACCTACTGTACTGGAGTGTGGTCCAGAGACAGGGAGAAATTAAATCCTATCTGCCAGCCCCGTTGCTCTTAAAAAAGATAACAACATATTTGAGACTATATCAAATGACGTTCTACTCAATATACTATTTAAACTAATTTCCTGTATCCCCTTCTCCCTCATACTAGATCTCATCCTCTCTCTTTCCCTCTGATACTGCCCACACTGTAGCAATACATGCTCCACAGTCTCTGTTTCCTGACAATAATCACACTTTCCTGTTGGATGCTTTCCTATCACATTTAATGTCTTATTCAACTGGCTGTGTCCCACCCTTAATCTTGTAAAAATAGCCTCCTCTCTTCTGTCCCTTCCTGCCGTCCTCCCCTCCCTGACTTTCCTCTGTACTTGAAATAAATGCCTTCCCTTATTATCTCTATTCCACTGCTCCTGCCATCTCTGCACCATCCCTGTTTATATCAGTCTTTTTGCATCTGCCTTGCTCATTTAAACTTTAACATCAACATCCCCACTACTAAGTGCTTGTTTAGCCTGTTCATCTACTTCCTCATTCCCCTCCACCCCCACATGGGCTGGGACCCAAGTAAATCTTATCTGTATACACACCTGTTTAATCCTGCCATGGGTTTGTAGCACCTCATAAAGCAGGTCTTGTCTGCTACGTGAGCTAAAGGACTGGAGACTCATTAACACTGTACATGAATCAGAGCAAATAACTACTCTGTCTTGTTTGACTTCCTCCACCCACTGCAAGACCAACAGTATGGCCATCAGCTCCGCCGTATATACAGCCAGATGATCTGTATTATGTTTCCTGACTTCCACCCCACATTCCTGCACTACAAATGCTGACCCAGTATGTCCTGTCCTTGGATCTTTTGAACCATCTGTGTAAATGGCCACAAAACCCTGATACACAGTATCCAGACGTCTCTTAAACAAATCAGATGGATCAACACCCTCCCTATCTTTCTGTAGTCTCTCCAACACTTCTAGATCAACTACTGGAGGCGGGAGTAGCCATGGTGGATTTACAGGAATAAGTACCGTTGGACTAAACTCCCTTCCATACAGTCCCATCTCCTTCGCCTGGGTATTACCCACTCACCCAAAGCTCGTGTTCAGTCTTCGCTTATCAATCAATTTCAATCAATTTTATTTTATATAGCCCTTCTTACATCAGCTAATATCTCGAAGTGCTGTACAGAAACCCAGCCTAAAACCCCAAACAGCTAGTAATGCAGGTGTAGAAGCACGGTGGCTAGGAAAAACTCCCTAGAAAGGCAAAACCTAGGAAGAAACCTAGAGAGGAACCAGGCTATGAGGGGTGGCCAGTCCTCTTCTGGCTGTGCCGGGTGGAGATTATAACAGAACCATGCCAAGATGTTCAAAAATGTTCATAAGTGACAAGCATGGTCAAATAATAATCAGGAATAAATCTCAGTTGGCTTTTCATAGCCGATCATTAGAGTTTAAAACAGCAGGTCTGGGACAGGTAGGGGTTCCATAACCGCAGGCAGAACAGTTTAAACTGGAATAGCAGCAAGGCCAGGCGGACTGGGGATAGCAAGGAGTCACCACGGCCGGTAGTCCCGACGTATGGTCCTAGGGCTCAGGTCTCTCAGTTGGCTTTTCATAGCCGATCATTTAGAGTTGAAAACAGCAGGTCTGGGACAGGTAGGGGTTTCGTAGCCGCAGGCAGAACAGTTGAAACTGGAATAGCAGCAAGGCCAGGCGGACTGGGGGCAGCAGGGTGTCATCATGCCCGGTAGTCCTGACGTATGGTCCCAGCATGCCTGTAAAATCCCTTTCGCAGGATGAGACACCCCATGTCCTTATAGGTTGACCCAATAATTCATTGCCAGCTGCTGTCTCCTAATCTGCAACGGCATATCCCCCATCTCCACCTGTAATGCAGCCACTGGGGATGTCTGAAACGCCCCACTACATATTCTGAGTCCTTGCCCCTGTATGACATCTAGCCTTTCCAGTGAGGTCTGGGCTGCCGAACCATATGCTATACTGCCATAGTCTATTACAGATCGGATCAATGTAACATACATGGTCTTCAATGAGGAACGCCCAGCCCCCCACTCCTTCCCCGTCAGACAGCGCATCACATTTAGCACCTTCTTACACTTTCCCACCACTCTCTCCATGTGTTCTGCCCAGGTCAGTCTAGTGTCAAAGTATACCCCAAGGAACCTGAAGGCCCCCACCCTCTCCAAGTTTCTCCCATATAACCTCAAGCATACCTCATCTCCCACCTTCCTCCTTGTAAAGAAAACTGTTTGAGTTTTCTCTACAGAGAACCTCAATCCCCACATTAATGCCCACCACTCTACCTCATCAATTGCTTCCTGTACCTTCCTGACTATGTATGTCACATTTTCCCCCCTCTTCCATAAGGCCCCATCATCCGCAAATAACGACCTGCCAATATCCGGCTGTACTTGAGAGTAAACATCATTGATCATGATTGAGAACAACAGAGAACTAATCACGCTCCCCTGTGGTGTATCGGGAATCGCATACTGTACTATTGCTTTTTGAGCTCCAGACATCGAAGGGTGGAGCAACTGCTGCCCCTCAAGATGAGTTCAGATTTTATGTGTCCCCAGCCCCCATCAAAATTGCCCAAATCTGTTCTAGAGTCTAAACCAGTGGTATTCAAGTCATACAGATTATTGTATGGGACAATATACAAATGGGGGAGCCGTGCTACAGACGGCTATATTGGTCCACTAATACAGGACTAGTAAAAAAAGAATGAGTAAAAATAAATAATAAAAATTTTTACATTTTAGTTTTGTTTAAGTTCTGATTTTCAGGGGGTGCTGCAGCACCTACTTCCCGTGGCTATGCCGTCATGTGCAACCAATCATTACCCCTATGTTTTATGAGCCTTCCCTCATACCCTCTGTGTATAGTCGAGGTATGAGTGCTAGCCTACTATCCCAGATTGGCAAACACTGATGTAGACAGGTGGCGCTGGTAGCCTATACAAACAATTGCTGTCCCAAGAGTGCAATTCTGACATTAGCAGCACTAGAGATCTAGCATATGCATCATCATGATAATCAATAATTTTACTGTTGAGTAGCAGGTCCTACTGAATCTTACCTTAGAAATGCATCTTGGTTTAGCTTATCACTACAAGTCATCAAAATCTTGGTATGCCTATAGGCCTATGAAATTAGGGTCTCGATTCAATCCGTATTGCAGGAGATCAGCGGTATAGCGCAATTTTTGAAATTTAAAGTCAACGTTCCCGCATTCGCGTTAACGCGCATGTCGGCTCAATCGGAAATTACCTTTACATTTCAATCGTTCTTTACCGCGGATCTTCCGTGATACGGATTGGATCAAGCCCTAGATTTTCAATGTCTGAGGACAGTATCTCCAGTTAGTGCTACAGACGTGTGCTATGTTTGGTGATGTAGTGATTCAAGGGGAATAGACAAGAAAGTAGGGTATGTCCACACTCCTGTGCCATAAAGGTCTAGACATTGCCCTTAGACATTCAGGTCTAGGATCAGCTTACCCTCCACTGTCTCCACGAATCCTACTCAAAACCATGAGGAGGGGAAACACAAAACGGACCATAGATCAGTCTGTAGTTGCCTACCATATACACTGTATCAACATTAACAGTATTTTAAAAATGTAATATACAAGATTAAATCAATATCATAAATGAACAGCATTCAGACAAAATTGATTAAAAATAATATTGGACAAATGCAAGGACACATTTTCCGGAAGTCCATTTTTTTTAATGTATCATTAACATCAGTCAGACTATTCTGGAGACATTAAAAAAATAACTACCAGGAATTCCTGTTCATAATATGAAAACATCAAGCGAGAACAGCAGACCTGTGAGTTTAACTACTCTGTTAGATCAAATCAAACTTTATTTACATAGAACGTTTTACAAAAGTAAATTCATGACATCTATGTATCTGAAACCCAGAGAATGAATGATCTAGAGTTGCTTTACTTTTCCAAAAAGTGTTGTCCATCTTCTGACAATATGTCTTTGTCCTAATTTGTTTCTTCTTTGTGTTTCCATCCTGTTTTCTTTATTTGTTTCTTTATTTGTGGACGTTCGCTCCTGTGTGAGTCAGTATGTGCAAGTTCAGGTTCCCCTTCCGATTGAAGCTTTTCCCACAGTCACCACAGCTAAATGGTTTCTCTCCGGTGTGAGTCAGTATATGTCTCCTGAGGTCCCCCTTCTGAATGAAGCTTTTCCCACAGTCACCACAGCCAAACGGTTTCTCTCCTGTGTGAATCCTCATGTGCCTGGAAAGATGTCCTTTGAGTTTAAAGGTCTTTCCACAAAAGGGGCAGGTGCAGGGTTTCTCCACGTGACAGAGTCTGACATGGGCCTTCAATTTACAGGTGGAGTTGTAGCGTTTTTTGCAGAGGCGGCATTCGCTGGGTCTCTTCTTGGCGAGAGTCACATGCCCCTGCAGGTCAGCTTTCAGAGCAAACGTTTTCCCACAGTCACTACAGTAGTGAGTTTTACTAGACGTAGTGCTGGGTTTGGAACAGTGTTCCCCCATTGATAGGTTGGTATCCAATGGTGGGCTGGGATGCAATGGTGACAGCAGCCTAAGTCTTACTGGGTCACTGATTACAGCTGAGCTGTGGCTGGAGGCACTGTTTTGATTATCTGGAGGGTCACAGGGAATGTCGAGACCCTTTAGGTGGGTAACAGTGACAAAATGGGGGCGATCCACTGGTTTAGAGTTACTTTCTCTGTTCTCCACTGTCTGGGTTTGGGGAAGAGTAAAAGACTGAAGTGGGTTCTCCTGATCACATTTACTTTTCACACAAGGTGGAGGGAATTTGAACACTATATCATCAGCCTCCTGCCCTTGAAGCTGCTCTTCCTCCTGACTGGTCCAGAATTCCTCCTGTTCCTCTTTAATCTGTGTGGGTTCTAGGTCCTCCTGCTGCAGACTGGGTCTCCACTCCTGCTCACAGTGCTGCTGCTCAGGGGGATCCTCCTCTTCAGAGACAGCAAGAGAGAGCTGAAGGGACTCTAGAGGGAAGGCAAGGAGGAGCAGAGGTTATCTATACCACCTAAATAAAAAATAACACTTCATCTCTTTTATATATATATATCGATAGATATACACACACAGCTTTTAGCCATGCCTGAGTGCGCATACCGAGCTATATGCTATTTCAATAAGCGTTTCGTGACAAACTGTTTCATCACGCACGATAAACGTTACATTCAACTATTTTCAACTATTTTAAAATATATGAAATGGTGATCATTGTTAGCCTAAACAACTTAGCTATTCATAAAAAAGAATTGTAGCTATATATTTGTAGATCTACAGACGAACCTTTTCTGCATAGTTTTATGTCCTGTGTAATCCGCAGCAGACTCCGTAGCCGATCATTCTCCTCCTGGTACTCCACTACCGTTTTCTCAACTGCCCCGAAAATCTCCACAGCAGCCGCCGTTAAACGCTCATTTAAGAACACGCGCAACATCTGTAGTGTAGACATTTTCAGTCGACTGAGAGGTGAGTATTCAACTAGTATGGCAAATATACTGATAACTAACCCCTTTTGTCTGTGGTATGGCTTTATCCACGAGGAAAGAACGGTTGCCGCTGTCCACATACAAAAAACAAACCCTCTCTCAGTTTTACTTCCGTATTGAATTCTTCTGTTAGTAACAGTCGTTTGTGAGCCCGTAAACACATCACAGCACCCCCATGTGGATGGATGTTTACTAGAAGGTACACGGACAGATTTTCTAAACAATCTTTGGTACAGACCAGTAATAATGGAAAGAGATAAACTACATATGGGGAAACAGTTCTAATAACTAATATGGTCATCTAGAATTATCATTTATTGCATGAACTGAACTGAAAGACAACACATTGTAACATAGGCGACTTCTGACTACTGCAACAGCTTGGGAGGGACTGATGTGACAGCGCGTGCAATAAACCAGAGAATGCAGTCATCAGGAGCAATTATAAAGAATATTATTGAATTGGGACAGGAAAAACACTGTAATGCACTTAAAAAAGAGTTTGCACTTATTCAAAGTGCAATTATCAGGAGTGAAGTGTATATAATTACTTCCCAAAAAATTCTAACAATATCATAAATGAGCAGCATTAAGACGAAATTGAAATCTTGGACAAATGGAAGGAGATATTTTCTGGAAAGTATATTTTTTATGTATAAATAACATCAGTCTGACCATAACCCTGAGAGACATTCCAAAACAAACGAATGGAAGAGGAGTTGTCCAGTGGCTATAAGACTCAGGCTGGTTCCCATACTTGCCCTCTTCAAGATCATCAGCAGACTCTATCACCATCATCTACCATCCTTTGACCAGCTCAAGCCATGAACTGACCCTCTCCAGCATTCAAAGACTTGGCCTCTATTGATTGACCTGGCCTGATATACACTGCTCAAAAAAATAAAGGGAACACTTAAACAACACATCCTAGATCTGAATGAATGAAATAATCTTATTCAATACTTTTTTCTTTACCTAGTTGAATGTGCTGACAACAAAATCACACAAAAATTATCAATGGAAATCAAATGTATCAACCCTTGGAGGTCTGGATTTGGAGTCACCCTCAAAATTAAAGTGGAAAACCACACTACAGGCTGATCCAACTTTGATGTAATGTCCTTAAAACAAGTCAAAGCGAGGCTCAGTAGTGTGTGTGTCCTCCATGTGCCTGTATGACCTCCCTACAACGCCTGGGCATGCTCCTGATGAGGTGGCGGATGGTCTCCTGAGGGATCTCCTCCCAGACCTGGACTAAAGCATCCGCCAACTCCTGGACAGTCTGTGGTGCAACGTGGCGTTGGTGGATGGAGCGAGACATGATGTCCCAGATGTGCTCAAATGGATTCAGGTCTGGGGAACGGGCGGGCCAGTCCATAGCATCAATGCCTTCCTCTTGCAGGAACTGCTGACACACTCCAGCCACATGAGGTCTAGCATTGTCTTGCATTAGGAGGAACCCAGGGCCAACCGCACCAGCATATGGTCTCACAAGGGGTCTGAGGATCTCATCTCGGTACCTAATGGCAGTCAGGCTACCTCTGGCGAGCACATGCGGCCCCCCAAAGAAATGCCACCCCACACCATGACTGACCCACCGCCAAACCGGTCATGCTGGAGGATGTTGCAGGCAGCAGAACGTTCTCCATGGCGTCTCCAGACTCTGTCACGTCTGTCACATGTGCTCAGTGTGAACCTGCTTTCATCTGTGAAGAGCACAAGGTGCCAGTGGCGAATTTGCCAATCTTGGTGTTCTCTGGCAAATGCCAAACGTCCTGCACGGTGTTGGGCTGTAAGCACAACCCCCACCTGTGGACGTCGGGCCCTCATACCACCCTCATGGAGTCTGTTTCTGACCGTTTGAGCAGACACATGCACATTTGTGGCCTGCTGGAGGTCATTTTGCAGGGCTCTGGCAGTGCTCCTCCTACTCCTCCTTGCACAAAGGCGGAGGTAGCGGTAATGCTGCTGGGTTGTTGCCCTCCTACGGCCTCCTCCACATCTCCTGATGTACTGGCCTGTCTCCTGGTAGCGCCTCCATGCTCTGGACACTACGCTGACAGACCCAGCAAACCTTCTTGCCACAGCTCGCATTGATGTGCCATCCTGGATGAGCTGCACTACCTGAGCCACTTGTGTGGGTTGTAGACTCCGTCTCATGCTACCACTAGAGTGAAAGCACCGCCAGCATTCAAAAGTGACCAAAACATCAGCCAGGAAGCATAGAAACTGAGAAGTGGTCTGTGGTCACCACCTGCAGAACCATTCCTTTATTGGGGGTGTCTTGCTAATTGCCTATAATTTCCACCTGTTGTCTATTCCATTTGCACAACAGCATGTGAAATGTATTGTCAATCAGTGTTGCTTCCTAAGTGGACAGTTTGATTTCACAGAAGTGTGATTGACTTGGAGTTACATTGTGTTGTTTAAGTGTTCCCTTTATTGAGCAGTGTATATTTAGATTCTATGAAAAGCGCTATAGAAGTTTAATAAATTATTATTATTATTCACTTGCTTTACAGAGTACATATTTATTACCCTTGGGAGGACCACCAGAGTCCCGCAGATAGCCTGCATTCCCCATTGGTGGAGGTAGGTACATCCCCATTGGTGGTGGAGGCTTGCTCTGTAAAATAAAATATTGACAAAATGTAAAAACAAGTAGTACCCAACCATATAATAACATGCTCACAGTTCAAATACAATTACAATGCTCTGATTTAAAATGACAGTAGAAAGTTGATACCACCTCCTGCGCAGCTGTGCTGCGCTCTTATCCACCCATCTATTGAGAGTCTGATCCCACACAATCTGTGGAAGAAGATGATAGGAATGAGAATCAGTCTTTAACCATCTATCGTTTTCAATCTTCAACTATCACTCAACCATTTCCGAATTACAAACTCTGTGTCCTGTGTATTGCGTTCGGTGTATTATTCCACTAATGTTTCTCGACAGGTTATGAAGATTTGTTGTGGTCATCTGGGAGGTGGTCCTTCTTACACCCGAAGCCAAGCCAGCCCTCTCTGCTGGTCTTGGACTTTACACCCAGGGGCTCCAATGTTGGTCGGCACTGGACCACATACAGGAGTTTGAGTTGGTTCATTGGGGACAGAAGGACGTTCAGTCACGGGGCTGGTCTTCCATTCCTGGCCCAGGACATCCACATATCTGCTCTGTGGATCTATGACAGGTAGGACAGAAGAACAAACCTCAATCATCTCTGCTTAGTACAGGGCTACAGCATCAGTAAAGCCTCATTCACAATAATTGACACTATTCCTGTTAGTGACTCTCACTCTTACTCAAAGTCATACATGCCAGACCTCTATAGGCTCATTGCTGTTAAAAGAGACTGTCTTTACTCACCTTTGCATAGAAGTTTCTTAGCACAGGTTGAGGACCACAGGGATATCCTGGCCATCCTGGCTTCAGGAAGGGAGGTGGTGGTGTTGGTAGAGGGTATGTCTGTAATAAACATCAACCAAGCAACCAAAATATGACACTGCTTATCAATAACACGCCTCTACTTATCAATGATATTTCACTTTGTGGCTGTTTTCATAAGAGTAACTTGAGGATATACTTGTGTGAGGTACAGTATGCACTTGTAGAATGAGCTACCTGCACATTGCACTTTCTGAGAAGGTGTGCTCCATTGGAAATAAATGTATACTGTATTTTGATCACAACAAGGGTTCCCTGCGGGTTCATGACCTACCCTGTTGTATGTCCGTCTGGGCCAAGCTTTCCCAACCAGTGCTGTTACATTGCATTTCTGTGGTCCATTTTGTCTCATGCACTTCTACAAGCAGCCACTAGATGCAGTCATAAACCATTTTAAATCAAGAAAATGTCAGTTAAAAAAATCATATTTTGTGGGGGCGGATATCCATTAGCATTTGCAAAAGCAGCAGAAACACTTCCTGGTTGTCCACAAAAAAACACAAAACATGACAAGTAACAAAACACTGATACACTGATAGACAAGGACAGTCACACAAATGTAAAATACACTGATACACAAACAATACAGCTAAACAATTATGTGTGTTAGAATGTGTCTGTGTGTGTGTGTGTTTGTCCCCTCACAGTCCCCGCCGTTCCATGAGAGTCGTTCTTGAATCTCCAATCACATTTTGCTCTGCCAGAAGTACCCTCATGTGCAACCAACCAATAATTTAGGCTTATGTTATGAGTCTTCCTTAGTACCCCCTGTGGATAGTCCAAGTATGAGGGGTAACTATCCCAGATTGACATTCACTGATGTAGACTATTACCAGTGCCAGATACATGTATATGGCGCTGGTAGACTATATAAACAACTGCTGTCCCAAGAAGAGTGCAATTCTGACATCAACAGCACTAGAGATCTAGCAAATGCATCATCATCAAAACCTTTACTGTTGAGTTGCAGGTATTACTGAATCTTACCATAGAAATGCAGCTTGGTTTAGCTTATCACTACAATACCCATTTCAGACAGAAGATGTAGTATATTACCTGTAAAAAGAAAAAGATAAAGCAATGTTTATATGACCCCCTTTCAAACAGCCCTTTATTTACCCATATTATACATATCAGTGGGTAACTGACGAATTAGGAGGGTTGGGGGCAGGGAAGTGTTTTTAAACCATGGCGACTGTTTGCATTTCAAATTAGGGAGGTGTTAATCCAAGGAAGTGTTAATGAAGTTACCTGCTAAAACAAAAAGAACCGTTCACACAGACCTGATACCTGTATTTTGGTTACAGGGTCTGTGAAAATGCAGGAATCATGACTAGGGGTTCTATTCAATTGGTATTGCTGAAGCGTTACAGATTGCCCGTTAGAAATGTAATTTCTGATTGAGCCGACATATGCAGCGTTTACCATGAATGCAGTCTCCGCTAACATTGCCTTTAAATTTCAATAACGCTGTAACGCTAAATTTCCGCGATATGGATTGAATAGAGCCCTAGGTCTTTAGGTGGATTTTATTTTTCCTTCTTTTTTACCACCTACCCCTTTCAGATATATGAAAAAGCATGCAAAAAGAAGCAGGCATGGTAAATTAGTGGGATTTCGGTCTGTGTATGAAAGGGATCAAAATATTGGTATAGGGCTATCAATTTATGTCGCAGAAGATCCTCTGTAGCTCAATTGGTAGAGCATGGCGCTTGTAACGCCAGGGTAGTGGGTTCGATCCCCGGGACCACCCATACGTAAAAATGTATGCGCACATGACTGTAAATCGCTTTGGATAAAAGCGTCTGCTAAATGGCATATTATTATTATCCATGGCATAGCGCGATTGAAATTTAAAGGCAATGTTCCTGCCATCACAGCGATTGCATTCACAGTAAAAACTGCATTTGTATACTCAATCGGAAATTACCTTTAAATATCAGTTGCACTATACCACAGATCTTCCGTGATATGGATTGAATCAAGCCCTAGATTTTCAATGTCTGAGGACAGTATCTCCAGTTAGTGCTGCTGACTTGTTTCTATGTTTGGTGATGTAGCGATTCAGGGGGAACATACAACAAAGAGGGGTATGGTCATAAAGGTCTAGACATTGCCCTTAGACATATAATATAATAATATGCCATTTAGCAGACGCTTTTATCCAAAGCGACTTACAGTCATGCTTGCATAATTTTTTTGTGTACGGGTGGTCCCGGGGATCAAACCTACTTCCGTGCTCTACCAGCTGAGCTACAGAGGACCACATACAGGTCTAGGATCAGCTTACCCTCCACTGGCTTCACAAATCCTACTCATAACCATGACCATAGATCAGTCTGTAGTTGCCTACCATATACACTGTATGAACATTAACAGTATCATAAATTAGCAGCATTAAGACAAAATTGATGAAAATGGATATTGGACAAATGCAAGGACACATTTTCTTGGAGTATACATTAATGTCAATAACATCTGTCAGACTATTCTCCAGACATTCCAAAACCAAACGAGCAGGAATTCCTGTTTATAATGATGTGAATACATCAAGAGACTTTGAACAGCAGACCTTGAGTTTTCAACTACTCTGTACTGTTAGATCAAATCAAACTTTATTTACATAGAACGTTTTACAAAAGTCAATTCATGACACATCTATTTATCTGAAACTCACAGAATGAATGATCCAGAGTTGCTTTGCTTTTCCAAAGAGTGTTGTCCATCTTCTGACAAGATGTCTTTGTCCTAATTTGTTTCTTCTTTGTGTTTCCATCCTGTTTTCTTTATTTGTTTCTTTCTTTGTGGTCATTCTCTCCTGTATGAGTCAGTATGTGCAAATTCAGGTTCCCCTTCCGATTGAAGCTTTTCCCACAGTCACCACAGCTAAATGGTTTCTCTCCAGTGTGAGTCAGTATATGCCTCCTTAGGTCCCCCTTCTGAATGAAGCTTTTCCCACAGTCACCACAGCTAAATGGTTTCTCTCCTGTGTGAGTCCTTATATGTTCAGTTAGGTGCCCCTTCTGATTGAAACTCTTTCCACAGTCTCCACAGCTAAATGGTTTCACTCCTGTGTGAATCCTCATATGTCTGGACAGATCTCCTTTGAGTTTGAAGGTCTTTCCACAAAAGGGGCAGGTGAAGAGTTTCTCCACGTGACAGAGTCTGACATGGGCCTTCAATTTACAGGTGGAGTTGTAGTGTTTTTTGCAGAGGCGGCATTCGCTGGGTCTCTTCTTGGCGAGAGTCACATGCCCCTGCAGGTCAGCTTTCAGAGCAAACGTTTCTCCACAGTCACAGCAGCGGTGAGTTTTTCTAGACGTGGTGCTGGGTTTGGAACAGTGTTCCCCCATTGATAGGTTGGGATCCAATGGTGGGCTGGGATGCAATGGTGACAGCAGCCTAAGTCTTACTGGGTCACTGATTACAGCTGAGCTGTGGCTGGAGGCATTGTTTTGATTATCTGGAGGGTCACAGGGAATGTCGAGACCCTTTAGGTGGGTAACAGTGACAAAATGTGGGAGATCCACTGGTTTAGAGTTACTTTCTCTGTTCTCCACTGTCTGGGTTTGGGGAAGAGTAAAGGACTGAAGTGGGTTCTCCTGATCACATTTACCTTTAACACAAGGTGGAGGTAATTTGAACACTATGATATCAGCCTCCTGCCCTTGAAGCTGCTCTTCCTCCTGACTGGTCCAGAATTCCTCCTGTTCCTCTTTAATCTGTGTGGGTTCTAGGTCCTCCTGCTGCAGACTGGGTCTCCACTCCTGCTCACAGTGCTGCTGCTCAGGGGGAACCTCCTCTTCAGAGACAGCAAGAGAAAGCTGAAGGGACTCTAGAGGGAAGGCAAGGAGGAGCAAAGGTTATCTATACCACCTAAATAATAACACTTAATCTCTTATATATATATATATATATATATATATATATATGGATAGATATACACACACACAGCTTTTAGCCATGCCTGAGTGCGCATACCGAGCTATATGGTATTTCAATAAGCGTTTCGTGACAAACTGTTTCATCACGCACGATAAGCGTTACATTAAAATATATGAAATGGTGATCATTGTTAGCCTAAACAACTTAGCTATTCATGAAAAAAGAATTGTATCTATATATTTGTAGATCTACATACGAACCTTTTCTGCATAGTTTTTTGTCCGGTATAATCCGCAGCAGACTCCGTAGCCGATCATTCTCTTCCTGGTACTCGGCTACCGTTTTCTCAACTGCCCCGAAAATCTCCACAGCAGCCGCCGTTAAACGCTCATTTAAGAACACGCGCAACATCTGTAGTGTAGACATTTTCAGTCGACTGAGAGGTGAGTATTCAACTAGTATGGCAAAGATAATGATAACTAACCCCCTTTGTCTGTGGTATGGCTTTATCCACGAGGAAAGAACGGTTGCCACTGTCCACATACAAAAAACAAACCCTCTCTCAGTTTTACTTCCGTATTGTCTTCTTCTGTTTGTAACAGTCGTTTGTGAGCCCGTAAACACATCACAGCACTCCCATGTGGATGGATGTTTACTAGAAGGTACACGGACAGAGTTTCTAAACAATCTTTGGGACAGACCAGTAATAATGGAAAGATAAACTACATATGGGGAAACAGTTCTAATAACTAATATGGTCATCTAGAATTATCATTTCTTGCATGAACTGAACTGAAAGACAACACATTGTAACACAGGCAACTTCTGACTACTGCAACGGCTTGGGAAGGACTGATGTGACAGCGCGCGCAATAAACCAGAGAATGCAGTCATCAGGTGCAAATATTAAGATGATTGAATTGGGACAGGAAAAACACTGTAATGCACTTAAAAAAGAGTTTGTACTTATTCAAAGTGCAATTATCAGGAGTGAAGTGTATCAGGAGTGAAGAAAAAAATTCAAACAATATCATAAATGAGCAGAATTAAGACGAAATTTAAATCTTGGACAAATGGAAGGAGATATTTTCTGGAAAGTATATTTTTTATGTATCAATAACATCAGTCTGACCATAACCCTGAGAGACATTCCAAAACAAACGAATGGAAGAGGAGTTGTCCAGTGGCTATAAGACTCAGGCTAGTTCCCATACTTGCCCTCTTCAAGATCATCAGCAGACTCTATCACCATCATCTACCATCCTCTGACCAGCTCAAGCCATGAACTGACCCTCTCCATCTTCGGAGGATGCAGCATTCAAAGACTTGGCCTCTATTGATTGACCTGGCCTGATATATATTTAGATTCTACGAAATGCGCTATAGAAATTAAATACATTATTATTATTATTCACCTGCTTTCACAGAGTACATATTTATTACCCTTGGGAGGACCACCAGAGTCCCGCAGATAGCCTGCATTCCCCATTGGTGGAGGTAGGTACATCCCCATTGGTGGGGGAGGTGGTGGAGGCTTGGTCTGTAAAATAAAATATTGACAAAATGTAAAAACAAGTAGTACACAACCATATAATAACATGCTCACAGTTCAAATACAAGTACAATGCTCTGATTTAAAATGACAGTTGAAAGTTGATACCACCTCCTGCGCAGCTGTGCTGCGCTCTTATCCACCCATCTATTGAGAGTCTGATCCCACACAATCTGTGGAAGAAGATGATAGGAATGAGAATCAGTCTTTAACCATCTATCGTTTTCAATCTTCAACTATCACTCAACCATTTCCGAATTACAAACTCTGTGTCCTGTGTATTGCGTTCGGTGTATTATTCCACTAATGTTTCTCGACAGGTCATGAAGATTTGTTGTGGTCATCTGGGAGGTGGTCCTTCTTACACCCGAAGCCAAGCCAGCCCTCTCTGCTGGTCTTGGACTTTACACCCAGGGGCTCCAATGTTGGTCGGCTCTGGACCACATACAGGAGTTTGAGTTGGTTCATTGGGGACAGAAGGACGTTCAGTCACGGGGCTGGTCTTCCATTCCTGGCCCAGGACATCCACATATCTGCTCTGTGGATCTGTGACAGGTAGGACAGAAGAACAAACCTCAATCATCTCTGCTTAGTACAGGGCTACAGCATCAGTAAAGCCTCATTCACAATAATTGACACTATTCCTGTTAGTGACTCTCACTCTTACTCAAAGTCATACATGCCAGGCCTCTATGGGCTCATTGCTGTTAAAAGAGACTGTCTTTACTCACCTTTGCATAGACGTTTCTTAGCGCAGGTTGAGGACCACAGGGATATCCTGGCCATCCTGGCCTCAGGAAGGGAGGTGGTGGTGTTGGTATAGGTCTGTAATAAACATCAACCAAGCAACCAAAATATGACACTGCTTATCAATAACACGCCTCTACTTATCAATGATATTTCACTTTGTGACTGTTTTCATAAGAATAACTTGAGGATATACTTGTGTGAGGTACAGTATGCACTTGTAGAATGAGCTACCAGCACATTGCACATTCTGAGTAGGTGTGCTCCATTGGAAATACATGTATACTGTATTTTGACCACAACAAGGGTTCCCTGCGGGTTCATGACCTACCCTGTTGTATGTCTGTCTGGGCCAAGCTTTCACAACCAGTGCTGTTACATTGCATTTCTGTAGTCCATTTGGTATCATGCACTTCTACAAGCAGCCACTAGATGCAGTCATAAACCATTTTAAATCAAGAAAATGTCAGTAAAAAAAATCATATTTTGTGGGGGCGGATCTCCATTAGCATTTGCAAAAGCAGCAGAAACTCTTCCTGGTTGTCCACAAAAAAACACAAAACATGACAAGTAACAAAACACGGATACACAAGGACAGTCACACAAATGTAAAATACAATGATACACAAACAATACAGCTAAACAATTATTGTGTTAGAATGTGTGTGTGTGTGTGTGTGTGTGTGTGTTTGTCCCCTCACAGTCCCCACTGTTCCATGAGAGTCATTCTTGAATCTCCAATCACATTTTGCTCTGCCCGAAGTACCCTCATGTGCAACCAACCAATCACTTAGGCTTATGTAATGAGTCTTCCTTAGTACCCCCTGTGGATAGTCCAAGTATGAGGGGTAACTATCCCAGATTGACATTCACTGATGTAGACTATTACCAGTGCCAGATACATGTATACGGCGCTGGTAGACTATATAAACAACTGCTGTCCCAAGAAGAGTGCAATTCTGACATCAACAGCCCTAGAGATCTAGCAAATGCATCATCATCAAAACCTTTACTGTTGAGTTGCAGGTATTACTGAATTTTACCATAGAAATGCATCTTGGTTTAGCTTATCACTACAATACCCATTTCAGACAGAAGATGTAGTATATTATCTGTAAAAATAAAAAAATAAAGCAATGTTTATATGACCCCCTTTCAAACAGCCCCCTATCTACCCATATTATACATATCAGTGGGTAACTGACAAATTGGGAGGGTTGGGGGCAGGGAAGTGTTTTTAAACCATGGCGACTGTTTGCATTTCAAATTAGGGAGGTGTTAATCCAAAGAAGTGTTAATGAAGTTACCTGCTAAAACACAAAGAACCGCGATATGGATATAATCGAGCCCTAGATTTTCAATGTCTGAGGACAGTATATCCAGTTAGTGCTGTAGTGATTCAGGGGGAACAGACAACAAAGAGGGGTATGGCCACAGTCCTGGGTCATAAAGGTCTAGACATTGCCCTTAGACATACAGGTCTAGGATCAGCTTACCCTCCACTGTCTCCACGAATCCTACTCATAACCATGACCATAGATCAGTCTGTAGTTGCCTACCATATACACTGTATGAACATTAACAATATCATAAATTAGCAGCATTAAGACAAAACTGATGAAAATGGATATTGGACAAATGCAAGGACACAATTTCTTGGAGTATACATTAATGTCAATAACATCTGGCAGACTATTCTCCAGACATTCCAAAACCAAACGAGCAGGAATTCCTGTTTATAATGATGTGAATACATCAAGAGACTTTGAACAGCAGACCATGAGTTTTCAACTACTCTGTACTGTTAGATCAAATCAAACTTTATTTACATAGAACGTTTTACAAAAGTCAATTCATGACATCTATTTATCTGAAACCCAGAGAATAAATGTTCCAGAGTTGCTTTGCTTTTCCAAAGAGTGTTGTCCATCTTCTGACAATATGTCTTTGTCCTAATTTGTTTCTTCTTTGTGTTTCCATCCTGTTTTCTTTATTTGTTTCTTTATTTGTGGACGTTCGCTCCTGTGTGAGTCAGTATGTGCAAATTCAGGTTCCCCTTCCGATTGAAGCTTTTCCCACAGTCACCACAGCTAAATGGTTTCTCTCCGGTGTGAGTCAGTATATGCCTCCTTAGGTCCCCCTTCTGAATGAAGCTTTTCCCACAGACACCACAGCTAAATGGTTTCTCTCCTGTGTGAGTCCTTATATGTTCAGTTAGGTGCCCCTTCTGATTGAAACTCTTTCCACAGTCTCCACAGCTAAATGGTTTCACTCCTGTGTGAATCCTCATATGTCTGGACAGATCTCCTTTGAGTTTGAAGGTCTTTCCACAAAAGGGGCAGGTGCAGGGTTTCTCCATGTGACAGAGTCTGACATGGGCCTTCAATTTACAGGTGGAGTTGTAGCGTTTTTTGCAGAGGCGGCATTCGCTGGGTCTCTTCTTGGCGAGAGTCACGTGCCCCTGCAGGTCAGCTTTCAGAGCAAACGTTTCTCCACAGTCACAGCAGCGGTGAGTTTTTCTAGACGTGGTGCTGGGTTTGGAACAGTGTTCCCCCATTGATGGGTTGGGATCCAATGGTGGGCTGCTGTCAAGTCCTACTGGGTCGCTGCTTACAGCTGACCTGTGGCTGGAGGCATTGTTTTGATTATCTGGAGGGTCATAGGGAATGTCAAGACCCTTTAGGTGGGTAACAGTGACAAAAGGTGTGAGATCCACTGGTTTAGAGGCACTCTCTCTGTTCTCCACAGTCTGGGTTTGGGGAAGAGACAAGGAATGAAGTGGGTTCTCCTGATCACATTCACTTTTCACACAAATATGAGGGAATTTGAACTCTATGATATCAGCCTCCTGCCCTTGAAGCTGCTCTTCCTCCTGACTGGTCCTGAGTTCCTCATGTTCCTGTTTAGTCTGTGTGGGCTCTGGGTCCTCCTGCCCCAGACTGGGGCTCCACTCCTGATCAAAGTGCTGCTGCTCAAGGGGAACATTCTCTTCAGAGACAGCAAGAGAGAGCTGCAAGGAGTCTGGAGGGAAGGCGCAGAGGTTATTTGTATACCACAGAATTAAATAGCACAACTGAATGATACAACAGAATTATAGATCTCTATGATATATAGACCTGTATCCTTTAGACATGCCTGAGTGTACATACCAAGCAATATGCTATTTCAATAAGTTTTTTGTGACAGACAACTTTTTAATCATGCACAGTAAACAAAAATACATAAGAAACTGTTCTATAAAGGCTCGCTAATGCTAAAGCAGCACATTGGATTCAATGAAAATGTGATGCCTAGTGTTTGGGTGAGTAGCTGCAGGAAGGCTGTGGAATCCAATGGGCTGCTTTAGCATTAGTATGCTGAAGAAAAAGGCAATTTAATTAAAAACAAGCAGTATTTCAATCTTCTACTTGTATCATTATCCCACCCAAAAAAATCAAGGAGTACAGCAACACCTTCCATCCCTGGATTGAGGTACATTTTCAAGCTATATCCCTGGTTCGTCACTGCAGTGCAAACATTATGGGCAAGCTGTGTTGACTTGAAAGAAAAGATATTGAGTTGAGTTTTAACTAGATATTTATACTGCCCTACAAAGGCAAAGAGCAGTAACTACGCAAACAGTGAAACTGAGAAAAATGGCTATAAAGTTATTTTTTGCTGTCCAGCCAAATATGGTGTAGGTAGATACAGTGCCTTAAGAAAGTATTCACACCCTTTGACTTTTTACACATTTTGTTGTGTTACAGCCTAAATTCAAAATGGGTTAAATACATTTTTAAAATCTCACCCATATACACACAATACCTCATAATGACAAAGTGAAAACATGTTTAGACATTTTTATTTATTGAAAATGAAATACAGAAAAATTGAAATACAGAAATATCTCATTTACATCAGGGTGGACTCCCGAGTGGCACAGTGGTCTAAGGCACTGCATCGCAGTGCTAGCTGTGCCACTATAGATCCTGGTTTGAATCCAGGCTCTGTCATAGCTGACCGGGAGACCCATGGGGCGGCGCACAATTGGTAGGGGAGGGAATGGCCGGCAAGGATGTAGCTCAGTTGGTAGAGCATGGTGTTTGTAACACCAGGGTTGTGGGTTCCATTCCCACGGGGGGCCAGTGTGAAAAATAAAATAAAAAGATAGTGTAAGTCGCTCTGGATAAGAGCGTCTGCTAAATATGTAAAAATGTATTCACAACCGAGTCAATACTTTGTAGAAGCTCTTTTTGCGGCGATTACAGCTTTGAGTCATCTTGGGTATGTCTGTATCAGCTTTGGTTTTGGGGATTTTCTCACATTCTTCCTTGCAGATTTTCTCAAGCTCTTTTAAATTAGATGGGGAGCGGCGGTGAACAGCAATCTTTAAGTCTTTCCACAGAATTTCAATGGGATTCAAGTTCGAGCTTTGGCTGGGCCACTCAAGAACTTTTACATTATTATTCTGAAGCCATTCCAGCATTGCTTTGGCTGTATGCTTTGGGTCATTGTCCTGTTGGAATGTAAATCATTTGCACTCTGAAGCATGTTCTCATCAAGGATTTGCCTGTATTTGGCTCCATTCACTGTTCCCTCTATCCTTACCAGTCTCCCAGTCCCTGCCCTGAAAAGCATCCCCAAAGCATGATGCTGCCACCACCATGCTTCACGGTAGGGTAGGTGTTAGACAGGTGATGAGCTGTGCCTGGTTTTGTCCTGACATAGCGTTTTGAATTCAGGCCAAATAGTTACATTTATGTCTCATCAGACCACAGAATCTTTTGCCTTATGCTCTCAGAAGTGGCTTCCTTCTGGCCACCCTCCCATAAAGCCCAGATTGGTGAAATGCAATAGAGACTGTTGTCCTTCTGGCAGGTTCTCCCATCTCAGCCAAGGAACTCTGTTGTTCTGTCAGAGTGGTCATTGGGTCACCTCCCTGACCAAGGTCCTTCTTGCCCAGTTGCTCAGTTTGGTCGGACGGCCAGCTCTAGGCAGTTCCATATTTTTTCAATTTCCCAATGATGGAGACCACTGTGCTCTTTGAAACTTTCAACACTCTAGAAATTGTTTAATACCCTTCCCCAGATATATGCCTTATCATAATTCTATCTCAGAGCTCTACAGCGAGTTCCTTGGACTTCATGGTAGTTTCTGGTCTGACATACACTGTCAACTGTCGTACCTTATATAGACAGGTGTTTTTTTTTTTTCTAGCACTAGCTAACACACCTAACTTCAATATTCAACTAATCATAGCCTTCAGTTTAGAATGCAATTAGTTGCCCATCCCTGTTCTAAACCATGTCCAAACAATTGAATTGGCCACAGGTGAACTCCAATCAAAGTTGTAATTATATCTCAAGAATTATCAAAGGAAGTTGGATGCACCTGAGCTCAAATTTGGAGCGTCATAGCAAAGGGGTGTGAATACTTATGTAAATGAGATATTTCTGTATTTCATTTTCAATAAATTTGATCAACAACCAACTTGACAGAGCTTGAGGAGTTTAAAAAAATTATAATGTGCAAATATTGTACAATCCAGGTGTGTTTACCGAAAAAGACAGCTGTAATCGCTGCCAAGGGTGATTCTAACATGTATTGACTCAGGGGGCTGAATACTTATCTAATGAAGATATGAATGTTTTATTTCTCTTTTTTATGTTATAATTTTTCATCCACTTTGACAGTATTTTCTGTAGAGCATATAATTAATTGAATTGACAATTCAATTAATTATAATCCCAATTTGTAACAACAAAATGTGGAACAAGTCAAGGGGTGTGAATACTTTCTTAAGGCAATGTAAGTGGTAATACATTGATGGATTATCTTATTATGAAGAAAACATTTTATGCATGTCAACCCTGACCACTGATCTGCCCTTAAACTACTACATGGGTAATGCAAAAGAAAGGTACAGTATCTACAACCTAAATGTGTTGAACCAACTTTTCTTTTTGATGGAAACAGTTGAGGGTTCTAACTACATTCCAAATGTATTTAACGGTTTTATGTAATTATGTTTTCACATTTTGAATGTTGCATTTAAGTAACCCTCAAGCATTTTCCGCCATAACGTACAAAATATTTCTAAACTATTTGGTTTCACCCAAATAACTTTTACAGTCAACAGAGCCATATCACAATACTTACGATTCGACATGTTGAATGTGTCCTTCGCTAACAAATATGCATTTAAAACAGGTTTTTATCCAGGGTCTCCAATTTTCCACCTGTAGAAGTGGGAGACTACATTGTAACTTACTCTCGCGCAACTGTGTTGTCTAGAATGGCCGAAAATGGGAGACCCTAGATAAACCGTTTTAAACGCTTATTTTATACGGAAGGGCACATTCAACACATCTAAGAGTAAGCATTGTTCCTAGATATACTTAATATGCCTCGACTGGAAACATTATTTTGGTGAAACCAAATAGTTTAGATTTGGTTTATAAAGGACGCCTGGTTAAGGAAGCGTCCGCAACGAGCTGTCTGTAAACAATGGTAGGCTGGACACATTACATTTTTAACAACGCTTTTTTCGGATAAAAACTAGTTCATTGCATCTGCCGTGGAGCCCAGTTTCATAATATTACCATATGTCCCAGCTGCTTCTCATAGTTTCAAAGTAATCACGAAAAAACAGGCCTTATTTTAGGGCATGTTTCACCCTGCCAGCTCCTATTAGTTAAATAGAGCACTGTGGCACCAACTTTCCTTCAGAATGTTCTACGTCACAATGCCTGCTTCGCTATTCTTGGCAATGAGACCTGCCCACGCTGGTAACAACAAACAATTACTCATTGAACTCTGAGGTCGTCCCATTGTTTTCTATAGGGGGAATATAGGCATGTCTGTTTATTTTGCTAAATATCTCGCAATGTGTATATTTTGATTTTTTGAAGTCGGGCACCATTTTAATCATGAGAATCTCCTCTTTGTAATTATGTAAGTCTGGGCAGCGAGCTCGGTTGTCATCAAATGCTAGCCGCAAAATACTTTTTGCCCTTGGAACCCTGAGCTCCACCCATTGTTTTCCTATGGAGAAGTATGCCGGTCTATTTCGCCAAATATCTCTCAATGTGTATATTTTGATTTTTTCAAGTCTGACACCATTTTAAATCAGGAGAATCTCCTCTTTGTAATTATGTAAGTCTGGAAAGCGAGATCGGTTGTCATCGATCACTAGACCAGAAATAGTCTGAAGTTTTCATTTTTTCACTACTTCCTCATTACGCAGATATAAGCACAGTTGACACCATCGAGGTGAGGTGTTTACTTTCTACACAAGTTTTTTTTTTCTTTAGTTTCATCCTAAGAACAGATACATTTTTTTGTGCTATTTAGGCGAAATTGAATTCTAAGCATAATTCCAGTAAAAATAGGCCCTGGGAACGTTCGATTCAATTCATTTGCTATGGGCTCACGCTAGTGTTCCAGCTTAGCCAACGTTCTATTGCTGTTTTTCAGCCTTGGGTAAATTTTGACTCGTTCTATTGTCCAGCCTAACAATGGCGTTGCAGGATGAAGCAAGGTTCCTGCAGATGCAGAAATGCCCACATGCTGAAACGCCCCGAATTGTGGGCCGCAATTGCACCCTTCTCTGAACAACTAACGTTAACGTTAACGTTAGTTATTGCACATTTGAAACTCCAGTTTCTCTTAAACAGAAAATAATTGAACCAGGACACGTTGTAACAAGATAAAACAGATACTACAAAGCTTAATTTGGGTCTCAACTAAATGTGACCAAATGTGTAGTCACTGCTGTTTGCAATTGTACGGCAGCATAGATCTAAATGATACGAGCTATTTTACATTGTTTTATGTCCGGTGTTATCCGCAGTAGTCTCCGTAGACGATAATTCTCCTCCTGGTACTCCACTACCGTTTTCTCAACTGCTCCGAAAATCTCCACAGCAGCCGCCGTTAAACGCTCATTTAAAAACACATGCAACAACTGTAGTTTAGACATTTTCAGTCGACTGAGAGTTGGATATTCAGTTAGTATTCGCTTCGTTCAAGAGGAAAGAATGGTTCCCACAAACCCACTCCCCGTTTTACTTCCGTATTGTCTTCTTCTTCTGTTTGTATCAGTGGGTGGTGAGCCCATAAACACATCACAGCACTCTCATGTGGATGGAGTTTCACTACAGACCAGTGATGATGGAAATGGATAACTTAATGTGGGGAAGTGTTAATTAGTAAAAGGGTGATCTTGGACGATCATTTATTGTATGAACTGAAAGACAACACATCGATAGAACTGCCAAAGGGGGTGGGGTTGCAATCTACTGTAGAGATAGCCTTCAGAGCTCTATCGTACTATCCAGGTCTGTGCCCAAACAGTTTGAGCTTCTACTTCTAAAAATCCACCTTTTCAGAAATAAGTCTCTCACTGTTGCCACTTGCTACAGACCCCCCTCAGCCCCGAGCTGTGCCATGGACACCATATGTGAACTGATTGCCCCCCATATATCCTCAGAGTTCGTACTGCTTGGTGACCTAAACTGGGATATGCTTAACACCCCGGCCAACCTACAATCTAAACTAGATGCCCTCAATCTCACACAAATTATCAACGAACCTACCAGGTACAACCCTAAATCTGTAAACATGGGCACCCTCATAGATATCATCCTGACAAATTTACCCTCTAAATACACCACCACTGTCTTCAACCAGGATCTCAGCGATCACTGCCTTATTGCCTGCGTCCGTAATGGGTCCGCGATCAAACGACCACCCCTCATCACTGTCAAACGCTCCCTAAAACACTTTAGCGAGCAGGCCTTTCTAATTGACCTGGCCCGGGTATCCTGGATGGATATTGACCTCATTCCGTCAGTAGAGGATGCCTGGTTGTTCTTTAAAAGTGCTTTCCTCTCAATCTTAAATAAGCATGCCCCATTCAAAAAATGCAGAACTAAGAACAGATATAGCCCCTGGTTCTCCTCAGACTTGACTGCCCTTGACCAGCACAAAAACATCCTGTGGCGTACTGCATTAGCATCGAACAGCCCCCGCGATATGCAACTTTTTAGGGAAGTCAGGAACCAATATACACAATCAGTTAGGAAAGCAAAGGCTAGCTTTTTCAAACAGAAATTTGCATCCTGTAGCACTAACTCCAAAAAGTTTTGGGACACTGTAAAGTCCATGGAAAATAAGAGCACCTCCTCCCAACTGCCCACTGCACTGAGGCTAGGAAACACTGTCACCACCGATAAATCTACAATAATCGAGAATTTCAACAAGCATTTTGCTACGGCTGGCCATGCTTTCCACCTGGCTACCACTACCCCGGCCACCAGCTCTGCACCCTCCGCTGCAACTTGCACTCTAGATCCAAACTGTTATAGACCTATATCCATCCTGCCCTGCCTTTCGAAAGTATTTGAAAGCCAAGTTAACAAACAGATCACCTACCATTTCGAATCCCACCGTACCTTCTCCGCTATGCAATCCGGTTTCCGAGCTGGTCATGGGTGCACCTCAGCCACGCTCAAGGTCCTAAACGATATTATAAACGCGATCGATAAAAGACAGTACTGCGCAGCCGTCTTCATCGACCTGGCCAAGGCTTTTGACTCTGTCAACCACCGCATTCTTATTGGCAGACTAAATAGCCTTGGTTTCTCAAATGACTGCCTCGCCTGGTTCACCAACTACTTCTCAGATAGAGTTCAATGTGTCAAATCGGAGGGCCTGTTGTCTGGACCTCTGGCCGTCTCTATGGGGGTGCCACAGGGTTCAATTCTCGGGCCGACTCTATTCTCTGTGTATATCAATGATGTCGCTCTAGCTGCTGGTGACGCTCGGATCCACCTCTATGCGGACGACACCATTTTGTATACATCTGGCCCTTCATTGGACACTGTGTTAACAAACCTCCAAACGAGCTTCAACGCCATACAACACTCCTTCCGTAGCCTCCAACTGCTCTTAAACACTAGTAAAACTAAATGCATGCTCTTCAACCGAACGCTGCTTGCACCCGCCCACCCGACTAGAATCACTACTCTCGGCGGGTCTGACCTAGAGTATGTAGACAACTACAAATACCTAGGTGTCTGGTTAGACTGTAAACTCTCCTTCCAGACTCACATTAAGCATCTCCAATCAAAAGTTAGATCTAGAATCGGCTTCCTATTTCGCAACAAAGCCTCCTTCACTCATGCTGCCAAACATGCCCTTGTAAAACGGACTATCCTACCGATCCTTGACTTCGGCGATGTCATTTACAAAATAGCCTCCAACACTCTACTCAGCAAATTGGATGTAGTCTATCACAGTGCCATCCGTTTTGTCACCAAAGCCCCATATACTACCCACCATTGTGACCTGTACGCTCTTGTTGGCTGGCCCTCACTACATATTCGTCGCCAAACCCACTGGCTCCAGGTCATCTATAAATCACTGCTAGGCAAATCCCTGTCTTATCTTAGCTCACTGGTCACCATAGCAACATCCACCCGTAGTCTGCGCTCCAGCAGGTATATCTCACTGGTCATCCCCAAAGCCAACACCTCCTTAGGCCGCCATTCCTTCCAGTTCTCTGCTGCCAATGACTGGAACGAACTGCAAAAATCTCTGAAGCTGGAGACTCTCATCTCCCTCACTAACTTTAAGCGTCAGTTGTCAGAGCAGCTTACCGATCACTACACCTGTACACAGCCTTTCTGAAATTAGCCCACCCAACTACCTCATCCCCATATTGTTATTTATTTTGCTAATTTGCACCCCAGTATCTCTATTTGCACATCATCTTTTGCACATCTATCATTTCAGTGTTATACGAAATTGTAACTATTTTGCACTATGGCCTATTTATTGCCTTACCTCCATAACTTACTACATTCGCACACACTGTATTTATTTTTTCTATTTTTGACTTTATGTTTTGTTTACCCCATATGTAACTCTGAGTTGTTGTTGTTTTTAATCGCACTGCTTTGCTTTATCTTGGCCAGGTCGCAGTTGTAAATGAGAACTTGTTCTCAACTGGCTTACCTGGTTAAATAAAGGTTAAATAAAAAAATACAATAATAATACAGGCGACTCCTGACAACTGCAACGGCTTGGGACTAATGTGAAAGCGTGCACTAAACCAGAGAATGCAGTTATTAAAATGCTATGACCTCGCTATTTTTCTTAAAACTCACCTGTTTTGTATTCTAGGGACTTTAGTGAGTAGACTGGAACATGGTTTTATGGACATACAATCAATATTTGTTCTGTACAGTGCAATATTTGTACCATATAGTGTCCAGGGGCCGTACGCAAATCTATTTGACCACAGTAAAAGTCCAGCAACACTAGCGAAGACCTAGCTATTTGTTCAATTTACCTGTTTTGTATTCTAGGGACTATACAGAGAAGATTGGACCATGTTGTTTTGGGCACACAATCAATCCTTTTTTCTGTACAGTGCAATATTACCATATAGTGTCCATTGGACCCACTCTAAGCTATTTGACCACAGTAAAAGTCCAGTAACACTTGCTATGACCTAGCTTTATTTTTGTTCAAACTCACTTGTCAAGCCAAACTAATGTAAGGTTGCTGTCTCCTGGGTACATACTGTACATTCAACACCTAGTCGTATAAGCTTTTACCCCTAGATATAACGAGTGCAGCCAAATCTGTAGGCTAATTGGTTTCGTAACATCACATTCACTTTTCACACAGGAAGCAGTGAATATGAACTCTATGATATCCGCCTCCAGCCATTGAAGCTGCTCTTTCTCCTGACTGGTCCTGAGTTCCTCCTGTTCCTCTTTAATATGTGTGGGCTCTGGGTCCAAAGACAGAGTGGGGTGATCAGCTGTGGAGTCTGTGTGGAGCAATTAGTGAAGCTGCTGTTATAAAACAGGATACATTAGGACTCGGCAATGACACAGACAGAGAAGATATGTAATCTTTTCAGTTTTTTATCACATGCAGAGACAGCAGAGACTAAAACTAAGAGCTGGAAAATTGTGATAGACAGAAAGATAGAAAGCAGGGGATCAGTACAGTGGAGCTACCAGTGGAATTGACTCAGCTGCCTCCATGCACAGGGCTGCAGAGCTAGATATTCATATATCTGTCTGTTCCACAGGGGCCTCATTTATAACAGTTCCGTACATTTCACACTCAATTCCTGTGTGTGCCATTTATGAAAAGTCTGCGCATGTACAAAAATATTGAGATACATCTGTATGCATGTTTCCAGTTATAAATCAGACCTGTCCTAAAACTGTGCAGCCATGAACCAGCATTAAAACCCCGCCTGGAAAATGTCTTCCATTCACATTTTATGGTGTCAATAATTAGCTTTATTTGCTGTATAATTTGGAACTATTTGTAATTTTACCAAGGCAGTTTCTAAAAGAAATAGCAATGGTAATTTTGATCTCATTTTATGTAGAGGTGGGCAGAATGTTTTGATGTTTTGCAGTGATTTTTCTAAAACATGCATGCTGTCTATAGCAAGTGCCTGTCTGCGCATTCTGAAAGATTGATTGTATATTCCAAACAATTTAAAAGTAGGCTAAATGCTACAGGCCACACTTCTATGCAACAGACTAATTGTTTTTCAATATTTACTTTATCAATAGATTATTGGGTTTATATGTCCTGCCTTGCTTTAGTCTCTGAGATTAAATAGGCAATGATGTCACGCTTCTATCGCACAGCAATACTGTAGCCTATAGGCTACTGTAAAATATTTTACATAAACTACTGTTCTAGTTACTGTGTTCGCAGAATGTTTGAATTTTTACAGTAATTTCTGCTGTATCTGGGAAATGATTGTGTCAGTTTCTGAAAGAGAAAACTATGGCAAATTGTTTTGGACCTGTCAGCAGAACGTTTGAATTCAACAATGTTTTGCATGACTTTTCCCCAGTGCTTAATTTGAGCCGGATCCGGTACCTCTCCTGGCATGCATTTTTTTCTCGCACTTTTTACAAATGTACAAATTATAACAAA